TTGTTTAATGAAATATATTATCGTACTTTTTATTTTGAGTATGTGGGTGCTAATTTTAATGATCTCCTGTGATATTCTTTTGTTATGTTATATCTATGGTAATTAGTAATTTTCAATTATTTGCGTTTAATTAGTTACGATATGAAAACCTTTTTTCATGGAACTTAAAGTTATTGTATCTTTGACTTTTAAAATGTACTTTGGTATTTCTAAGAAGAAAATTTACTTGTCATTCAAGTGCTTATGATAGTTTTACGAATGAATTTACTAAATCTTAATTACGAATTCTTGGATTTTATCAATAAAATCTTAAACTGTAAAATTACATCTGCTTTTCAAGTTTGTTGAATTTAGCTTATTCTATAGCTTTATTTTGTTATTGTTTTTGTTTGTTTATGTTAACTGTCTCAAGTTTATTTTATTATCTAATGTGTTAGTTGCAGTGTCTGTGTACTAAGTCGTTACACTTTCTGCTCATCTATGCTACTATTTTATTGTACGTTTGTTGTTATTTTAGTATTACATCTCTCAAGTAGGTCTTAACTTTGTTGGGTATCAAATGAATTTCTGTTCATAGCTGTTGCCATTTAATGTTTTCTTTAACTGTTTAGGTTCAATTTTCATTGTTTTATATAATGTTTTATGTCCAAGAAATATAATTGTTTTGATGGATGTTTATCATGAAATTGCTCACAAATGCATTTTAATGTTGATTAAATTATAGATTACCTATTTCCTGAGTTTGATTTGTTATTGTTGTTTTTGTATGGGTCCTATTTATTTTTTGATAATTTATATTTGAAATTTATCATTATATTGAACTGTCTTATTTAATATCAATAGTTTCCAACAATTTATTGTTTCTTGTTTTGAAACTTAATACTGATTCATTCTATGCCACCACCACAACTACATTGTCAGTTTTCTAAAGGACCTTTTACACATTTACGTTTCTCAACCAGTTTGATGTTTGAGTTCACTTTGAAACGGTGTAAAAGGATTTTGTTAGCTTTGGGGGAGGCTAATAGATCCAGCATGTTATAAATGTTTGAGCAAACTATAACAGTGCTCCTTATGTTCATGAAACATACTATTCTTCAAAACATCCTATTTGTTCAACTGTTTTTATATTCTGTAATTGTCACTATGATTGTTTCGTTATACTGTTTTACAGTATAAATGTCAAGGTGAATAGTAGTGATAAGGAACAGAACATCTTCATACAATTTTACATTGCTCATATAAACTTTCTTGTTTTGTTGCTTTTGAGATTTACTATCACTTTAAATATTTACTATTATTATTGAATTGAGGCTTGATGTCACAGGAGTGAAATCCTAATTCAATAAAAAGAGATGTCCTCCTGTATATATATATATATATATATATATTTTTTTTTTTTCTCTCTCTCTTTGCTACTGGTTTCGGTCTTTAATCAGATCTTCATCAGGCCAACTTAATAGGACCTGATGTATTCACATCTGACAAGCAGGAGAGGAGGAACATCATAAGTTGGTCAGATCAAAGACCGAAAACCGGTAGCAAGGAGAGAATAAAAAAATTATATATAAGAGGACAATATCTTTTCAATTAATTGACTTTATTTCATATTATATGCGGGACATCCCTTATATAAAGTTGAATTAATGGAAATGCTTATTAATTTTTAACATGAAATACAAACTACATTAAAAGTAAAGTTGCAAGTTAATGTTAATTTTCTGGCCCACCTGTAAAAATATGTCAATTATTTGTTACAGAAACTTAACCGTGTTAAAGGTCCTATAATGTCTGTTTTGATCTCCCCTGGTGATTGAAAACCAAAATACTTAACTATAAATTCTAGGATTAACTAGCTATAGTATAGAAACTTGACCGTGTAAAGTGGCCTTATGAATTTTATTTTACTGAAAACTATTAAGTTGAAAAATCATGTAAATTTAATTTTTTATAATATGAATATATTGAAAAATAAATGATCAATGTTGATATTAATTTAAATCTGTGGCTGATTACTAAAGATAACACGGGTAAATGAATACATGTAAGTATCCTACCCAGAGTCACTATTACACTTTTTTATTTTATTGCTCTTATTCATTATCATGGCTTGTAAATTTATATATTAACAGTACTTAAAATCACAAACGTCACCGACCAAAGAATAGAAAAATAATAAAATAAATATTAGATAATAACTACCTAACAGAAATCTTATGACCATACATTGTCAATTAATGAATGGTGACGAAAGGTATTTTTGTATGGCAATCCCATCAGTTGCAGCGAAACTCACATTTTTTCAACTTCAACCATTGCCCAAGATTTTGTACTTTTTTTCATGGACTTGTTTCAGGCATATGCTAAGCCAACAAAGTATTAGTACTGGTTAATTGATTTATTTTTTATTATTTGTTATATTGTTTAATCTTTTGCATTTATTAGAATATAATTAGAAAAATTGGTAATTGTCTGATAGCCAGTCGGGATCGATTGCTATCTGCCAATCTTTATAACCTGAACACTGATAATTCTGATAAGGCACTGAAAATCCCTATCTTCATATTCATATTTATTGTATTATATTCATACCATTGAAATTGTAAAAAAAAAAAAATTTATAATAAAAAAATACTTTTATTTTACAACATATATATTAAATATATGAAAACAAATGTAATAATAACAAAACAGTTTGATTTGATATTGACAAAAATAAATTTAGTAATAAAAAATGATTATAGTTTGCTTCATTCAGTTGTTGGGTGTTGTATCCTTTCCAACAGCCAGAAGAAATGGTGCTATATTGTTTTTAATTCCTTGTAATAAAGTTGTTGCCTTTCTGTCGTTTATTTTGACGATAAAACACTTGTCTGTTTCTCGGCAAACTCCGTCAAACATCCATTGTTCAGGTAAAACTCTCCCTAAATGATTTTGTCTTTTAGAAAAAATACTCGTCTACTTCAGCGGCTTTGCCAGGCCCTCCAATTTTTTTAATTGACCTGTATAACATGTTATGACCTCAAACCTCTCTTAAAAATTTGTTCCACATTATCATAGTTGCCTTGGATAGTTTCAGCTGCTCTTTGCCCCACTGTATCGTTGTTAAATTATGGAACCACCCATAAATTAATTTTGAACAAAATTGATATCTTCGATCCCTCTAACCACGTTCTTTGGTATGAAAGCATCTCCATTTTGTCTTCCTGTCTAACTTCATTTGATGACCTTCTTCACAAAATTTCACGTTTGGAATTATCCCAGCATTTTGAAAATATTCGATAGCCTCTTCTTCTGAAGACTGTAATTTCCTGAATATAATAACATCCACAATTTGAAGAAAATCACACAAATAGAACAGAAATAAACAATGGAATAACTCACAGCTTACATATGGAACAGAAATAAACAGTAAAATTCACAACTTACTCGAGATAAGAAGGGAGGTTATGTGATGTTGCATTAGATAACAAGGGAGGTTTCATCCCGACCGGCTATTAAACAAGTACCGAAAAATTCAAACAAAACGTTTTGTGTCTCTAAAGTACCTTAGTCATTATCTGGACAGAGACAACAAGATTTTATTTATGCTGACCAAATAAAAATATATATCTTGCCTCTACTGTCTAAGTAAATATTCTTTGACTAGAGGCTGTACATCACTCTGAGGCATCTAAACTCGTACTATATAGAGCTTTTTTCTTTTACATTAATTTTTTTTTAATTCGATGAGGTCTATGCACCATACACCAAGGTGATGTACCATCACACACAGTAAAATTACTGAAGGAAACAATTAAGGTGTTAGGTTGAAAAATATTAGTGCAAAGAGTAAGCAGACTTGGCTTCATCTGGCAACTACTCATTTGCATTGATAGAGCACATAATTGTTCAATAATGCTTCACTTCACATGAAAATGGTTGGATGACTGGTTCACAACAAAAGAGCAACAGTTTTCCTGGTATGGCATTCATAAATTACCAGAAAGATGAGAAAAATGTATAACTAGTGATGGACAGTGTATTGAAATAAAATATATATATTTTTTATGCAATAAACATGTATTTTCTATACAAAAATTTGGATTTCATGTTTAAAAAAACTTCTAAATAAACGTTAAAATCTTGATAGGACTATAAAATGAAACAAGAAAATTTTTCAACTCCCAAAAAAAAGTCAGTAGCGTGAACGCACCAGTTATGGACAGGCTGGACTTTAAATGTAAATAATAATCATCCTTGTTGATTTAAAGGTTCCAGTTTTTTTTCTAGATTAAAGAACAATACCCTTTATCGACAACTGTATGAATAAAGTTTCCAAAAGAAAATTTTTAAATGCCCATCACTGTTGTTTCTATAGTGCTCTTGAGATCAGTTTGTTTTATACCTTCCTACTAACAGTTTTGCTAAGAGTAAGTTGAACATTTATTTTATCTTATCTGTATTGTTATCTTTATAGTTAAATAAAGATTTTATAATTTTTCTGAGGTATGTCCATTACGGGTACCCAATCCCCTGTCCATTACTAGAACAATTGAATTTCGGGATGTCCATCACTGGTGCAAAAAGGTGTTTTTTTTTTAATGGAGATTATACCTGCATAACTGTATATTTTTTTTAATTTTAAAGTGTTAAATTGAAAAAGGAGACCCTAGGGATTGCATATGTCCAACAGAGAACTTACCATAATAATTATGGTGGCATAAACGAAATAAGACAAAAAATTGCTTAACTATGTCCATCATCATCAGCGCTTACCCTAAGGTTCGACCCTAAAAACAAGCAAAAAAAAACTAGTTTCTGAAAAATATTTTTTTTTTTAGTTGGGCTGTTAACCCTATGCTCAACCCCCAAAACTGTTAGGACCAGGGAGCTCGATTTCGGGGACTTCTAACCCTAGGAAGTTGCTTCACTTCAGTAATAGAGCTCTTCCTATTTCCACAGTGGATCTTCTTCGTTGATGTGTAGATGCTGTTCCTCTGCCAACAACCCAAAAAAATATGTCCTGGTACCAGCACTTTCGAGACAGGCCTCGTCTCCTGTTACACCAGAGGAGCCCTGCCATTGCCCCCTTCTATCATCACCTCACAGACCCAGCTTTGTCGGGTTACCACAATACGTTCATACTTGTCACAAATTAAATTTTCCTATTATTAGTAAGGATAGTTGTTATAAAAAATAAATATTAATATTCAAAAATATGGTGTTGAAATACTTGATTTAGACAAAAATAAAATTCTTGAATTTATTTTTTTTCTCTTATGCCAGTCGGTGGTCATTTGGCCATCCAACATCTTGCTGCCCAGTATAATTTAGACTTTCTAATATATATATTTGAAAATATTTTTTCTGTTATGTCCTTCAAGGCAGGACATGCGTCTAGATGGTCTGCATCCATTGTACCTTGATGACACAATTTACAGGTAGGATCCTCAGCCACGCCTATCTTGTAGAGATGACTCTGCAGATAGTCGTGACCGGTGGCCAGGCGGAATCAGGCAACTGCATCTCTTCTCTGCAGTTCAGCTGGAATTAGATTATCCTTCAACCACTCATAACGTTTCCCTTCCACTTTGCCGAAATGTGCTTTTCTTATTTCTTCCTTCATTACAATCTTTACCGTTCGCCGTATTGAGTCGTAGAGTTTTGGATGTATCGGCTGAGACAAATCTGTTCCTTGCTTGGCAAGAATATCAGCCTCAAAATTTCCTGGAATCCCACAATGGCTGGGGATCCACTGTAGGACCACATTGGTGTCTCGGTGTGTCAGGTTAGAGAGGAGGCATTTACATTCCAATATAGCACTCGATAAACATTCATTCGTGCTTGTAACAGCGAGGATGGCTGCTTGGGAGTCGATGAAGAGAACAGCGCTCTGGTCCCGCCTTCTAGACAATGTTCTTAAGGCTATGAGGATCGCCGCTATCTCACCGTCGGGATTCGTTCCATCTTTACCCACCGCAGCGCTGATTTGGAATTCCCTTGAGTAAACCCCTGCTCCAGCATTTTTAATGGCTGATTCAGCTGATCCGTCAGTATAGATATTATTTACATCATTAAAAATTCTTGAATCTGAAAGTTACATTAAAAAAATTGCAGTAAGTTACATTTTAAAGAATTGCAAGCTGATAAGGAAACTGAAACAGAAAGTCAAACTATTTCTGAAATGTTGTTGATTATTGATACAAATGTCTATGAAGTGCCGAGCAGGACTGAGACTATAAGAATACTTCTAAACAAATAAATATAACTGTTGAACCTAGCAGTGAAATGAATAGTAATAAATCCTAGCTGAAAATAACAGAGTTATAGAAAATAAATATTATACACTCGTATTTTAAACGATTTGTATGAAAATTCAATAAGATAAGAAGTTATAACATTTTGATGTAGCTTCAGATAAGCCTAGCTTATCTACTTAACCATATTAAAATCTGAGTTGATTACATCCACTTGATGAGAATGATTTTAATTGTTAGTAAAGAATTCTGTTAAGTTCACTATTCTGTTCGAGTCACCGTTGACAATCTTTGACTGAAACCAATTTACTGATAAACAATATACTTATTTACATCATTAAAAATCCTATTGTATATTTTTCAAAAATATTATTAAAAACACTTGTAAGTTCAAATCTTGCTGTAATTTTGAATATCATCTTTATTTCCAGATTTATTGATGGGAATGATTTTTGTATGTTTCGAATTGTTCGGGAAGACATATTAAAGCTTAAATTTATGTATTTTAAAGGCTTAATAACGTAGACAACAAATATCTCAATTATAAACTGGATTCCATCAAGACTTGGGCTCTGAATTTTAATTTCTTATTAGCAATGAATATTTTATGCTTTATAGTGAGTATTTGGAACTCCATAATGTCGTAATACTTCACTAATATCGTATGGTGCGTAATTACATTTGTAAAACTCATAAAGGTCAGAAGCAATGATTTCACCTCCGATGATTTCATATTTACCTCTCTTTGTTAGACATTTCTTCTTTCTTTTTACTCTTTTTGTGCTAATGAAATTTCAATATAACTAAAATCATTTTATATGGAAATTTGAGTTGAAAAACAGAAGGGCCAATCATTAAAAAGACACAGAGTTGACAAATTTCAGTTTGATTACTTTCTTCTTTATTTATTTATTTTACTAACATGGTTTGTTTTAAACTATTTTTTAAAAAACTTACTAAACTTTGACATCAATTATATTTAATGTTATTTCTCAATGTAGTTTAAGCGTGTACTGGTTTTCTCCATAACCAAATCTAGACAATACAATAATTTTAAAAACTAGTTATTAAGTTAACTCTAATATGATTTAAGTTTCTATTTATTCATTATTTAAAATCTCTACAATTTACAGTAAGCTGTGCTTACATGGTTTCATTTAGTTTTCAAGATTAATTGACATTCATCACTAGTACTCAATAAAAATTTGTAGGTTTCATTGTTACTCAACCTTCTATTGACCATGAAGATAATTAATTTAAAATTTGGTGCAGATTGGTTCAATATTATTCACAGTTAAGGGTTAAAACAAAAAAACGGACTGTCCTTTAGGAATATTAGGACAAGTGATATTTTTTTATTTTGTTGTACTGTTTCTGATTCTACTTCATTTTTTCTTTCCTCTTGCTCTCTCTTGGCTGCCTTTATGCTATTAACAATTTTTTTGTAGCATTTTTTAACATAATTTTTTTTTTCCTATGCCGAAGTCATTGGTCATCCGATCAACCGACATCTTGCTGCCCACTATAAGTTTAATTTTTTTATATATTATTTTCCAAATGCTTTATATCTTATATCCGTCAAAGCTGGACATGTGTGTCTAGGTGGTCTGTATCCATTTTTGCTTGATCACATAATTTACATTTAGGATCCTCAGCCACGCCTATCTTGTGGAGATGACTTTGTAGATTGTTGTGACCAGTGGCGAGGTGGAAGCATGGTACTGCATCTCTTCTTGGTAGGTCAGCTGGGATCGGGTTTTTCATCAAACATTCATAACGTCTCCCTTCCACCTTGTCTTTTTAATAATAATAATAATCTTTTATTTATTCTGGGATGAATCCATTTAGAATAATTAACAAGAGCATAAATCCCAATACATAATATAGAATACATATACATAATTGGGATCCCGAAGATAAATCGTACAAAGCAATTTATCAAACCTTTTAGTTTTGCCTCGAGATCCCCACAGATGCCTCCATATACCGTGCAGCAATAGGCAAAGAGGGAAAATATTAAGGAGGTGACCAGGAGTCTACAGATTTCAAAAGAAAAAAGGTGTCGGAGGCTATTTAAGTGTTTTAGCGTGGAAAAGGTATGTCGGGAAATATTGGATTCATGGTTTTTCCAGGAAAGGGTAGGATCAAAGATTATTCCAAGGTTTTTGATGGTGGGATAAAATTTCATGGGATTATCATGTAGGAACAGGATTGGAATGTTAGGAACAGTTTTGAGGAGGTGATTAGAGCCTATTAGCATTGCCTTGGTCTTTTCGGATAGTGGAAAGTACTTCGTCATAGGACACATGGGAAAAAAAGAAGTTTTCAGGATTGAAATTGTGGTGTTCAATATCATGAGTAGGAGAAGGATTAAAAGCCATAAGATAAGAAATGGTCATTAAGATCATCTGGAGTCACAGGGAGGGAAATGAGGTTATTAGAATCTGGTAATGATAGATTACGAAATATTTTCCATTCTGATTTGGAATCAGGAGAATTGGAAAGGGCATTATGGAAGTAGTTGAATTTAGCAAGTCGGATTGTAGATTGGGTTGCATTGCGAAGTTGTTCGAAAGACACATAATCAGCAGGTAACCGGGTTTGACGGTATTAGCGCCTTGCTACATTCCTTCTCTTTATCATTACCTTTATTTCAGGAGTCAGCCAAGGAGCAGTGGGACAACGTAAGATTCTGGTTTTTAGAGGAGCATGGATGTCTAATATGGATTGTAGGTATGAGGTAAGGGTGGATATCATAGGGTCAATGGAGGTATAGGAAAATATGGTATCCTATTAGACAGAATTAAGGTCAGGTTGAAGGGATTCAAATGAAAGGAGGTTTAAATTGCGATATGACACTATTTTGGGAGTAAATGATTTTACGGGTAGGTCGCACGAAATTTGGATCAGGTCATGTGATGATAGAAAGGGTGCGGGGTGTTGAGAGGAGGAAAGGATTTTAAGGGGTGAATCAGAGATGTGGAGGTCTAACCAGGTGTCAGAGAACTGTGTGTGATGAGTGGGAAAATAAGGGACAAGATAAAGATTAAGAAAAAATATTAGGTCAGTGAGGAAGTATTTTTCGCAAGATTCTGAGAGCATATTTACATTAAAATCCCCAGAGATGATGACATTGGAGTAGGTGGAAACCAGATTGACAAGGGAGGATTCAAAAAGATGGTCGAATGGTACACGAGGAGGACGATAGTCTATAACATATAATGAAGGAAATAAAACAGGAAATTTCAACAAACATAAATTCAATGTAAGGGAAGTTATGAGAGGGGGACTGTAAAAGGATTTTGGCCCCCCATGTCTTTGCTCCAAGGCGTTTTAGAAGCTTAAGCCTGTTTTCTCCCTTTTCCACCATATCTTCAATTTGCCTGTTCTAATTCATTTTGGTGTCTAACCTAACTTCCAGGTATTTGCCTACATAGGTTCTTGGCAAGAGAACATTATTATAAATGATTTCCAACTCTTGCACTTTGGTTGATAACGTGAACAGTTGAAAGTCAGTTTTTTGTGTGTTCACTTCCAATTTCATTTGACATAGTCCAGGTAAAAAGTCTTGACGTTGCATGTATTATTATATTAAGGAGTGTGGGGCTCAAAACAGATCCTTGTGGAAGTCACTGGCTAAAAGATCTGAAACTTGAACACCAGCCATTGCATCTTACTCTGAGAAACCTCTGGGCCAAGAAGGAATGTATGGCTCGGTACATTTTTCCACTTATATTCATTTTGAGAAGCTTTTTCAAAAGGACTTTGTCGAAAGCAGCTTTAAAATCAACATATACTGCAAGTGTATGTTGTTTTCGTTGGAATCCATCTTTTATATCCTCACTAAAACAAGCCACCTGCTCAGTTGTACATCGATGCGTTCTGAAACTTGCTTGCTTCGACGACATCTTATTTTCTTTATCTAAATATATCTACAACCGGGTTAAGACCATTCTCTCATAGAGCTTAGAAAAAACACTTGTGATCGAGATTGATCAGTAGTTAGATGGGAAAGAGGAAGATTTTTCTTTCTTGAGATTGGGGATAACGTCAGCCTTTCTCCAGGCACAAGAATATCATGACCTCCACACAGCATTGAGGAAATGCAGCACTATGAGCTTAGCTTTTGCATCCAGGTGTATAAGGAACTCTGGCAATATGTCATCAAGACCACGGCTTTTTTCCTTCTTTTTTGTGCCAGACCAAGTTCAAGTTAGTCTTCTGAGGTCGTCTTCAAAGAGTTGGCTTTCAGAAAGATTCAAACATAAGATTGGTGCTGCGGTATTAATTCTCTTATTTTCTTCTGCTGGTTTATAGTTAGAAGCTCTGTCAAAGAATTTACAAAACCTTGCTATGGCAAGTCTAGAAAATATCTGCTTGTTATTAAACTTAAGAGGGTTGTTCCTTGAATATTTTTTAACATAATTCAAGTACAATTCCAGCAATAATAATAATGTAAAATTATGAATTAACATTAGTAAGCATTCTTAAAGAACTCTCTAAACACGATTAGAAATATTATTAACTTTCTTTCTATTGGTCAAATAATGGATTTCAATAGTTTGAAACCTGCATGGTACAGCATGTTAAGAATAACTTTATGTAAAGCTTTACATTTTATTGTACATTATATTTTATAAATGTGGGTACTTATAGTACCTTTATACCTAGTTAATTTATGTATTTACAATAATCTATGTTATTTGTTACAGATCAACCTGAGGTTGATATTAGTATGTGGAAAGACTGAGGAATTTCTATTCAATCCCAGTGATTCAGCTGGAGAAATAGCTCAATATGTGTTTGATAATTGGCCAGAAGGTAATTCATTGATTATTTTCTTTTACATTGAATAAGACCATGTTTTAGTTCAAACATATCACTTACTTATTATTGTTTTAATTAATTTTTAATTATCTATATTTAATTATCTATCCAAAGAAAGTGAAAAACTTCAATCTTCATAAATCGTTCATACTTATATTTACTTACTACAAATAATCTAAAAGCGGCAAATCGGCAATCACTCCACTCCAACTGCTCCACTTGTAATGGAACTATGAACAACTGTGTGTCTGAAATCTTGTGTGAGTTTTTCTGATTGGAAATAGTTTCCTCTTAACTCCGTCACACTAAGACAAAATCATTTCTCTTTAACCATCTGCGAGTAAAGAAAGCTGATGGAGTAGGAGAATGAACTGTACACGTTTGTAGGCTGTGTTGTAAGAATAAAAATAAAAATTGTTGGTAATAATCTATTCATAAAATTTACTTTATTATTTGTATAATAGATATTACGAGAATGTTAATAAGAATAACTTAGAACTGTGTTTATTATCTTACTATTAATCATGTTAGAAACTAAAATTTATTTATTTTTTCTTAAGATAAAAAATACTTCCATAAAATAAAATATTTATTAGAATTACAAACATTTTTTAGTGAATATATAATATGTTTAAGATTTCCACTGTTTTGTTAGTAAAATAATTAAATATATTAATTAAAAGGAAAATATTTTCAGTTGACTTATAATTTCTAATACTCTTAAAATTTTGAATTTTTTTATTTGGGAGAGGGGCTAAAAATGTTGATTTAGAATAGAATCGAAAAATAACTTTATTCTGGAGTGAAGTCTCTTGAGAATCACAAATTTGTACAAGGAAACAAACGGATTACTTCTGGCCAGAAGATCTGTTCAGTTAAGTAAACTGAAATGTGTTGTGGGCTGTTGGGGAGAGAGGCACTATTTATATTCCATTGATTTATATTAATCTGTGTATTGACTTATTTCTAGACTGTAAATATTATAAAATACAGGATATGTGAATTTCCTGCCGTTTTTTTGTATAAATGAAAACTATTTATTAAAATTCTTCAGACACAGGTCATTTTTAAGTATTGTCCATCGCTAGCCACTACTTTCTCCCATCTTTCAGGTAACATACAGATTCCGTGTTAAAAAAAAAAAAATATCTGAGGCAATCCAGTCATCAATCCATTTTTTGGTTTTATATATATCATATCATGGAAGAGTTCCTCAGCCACATCTTGAGGCAGCTATCACAACAAGTGGTAGTTTGAAGGAACAATATCTGGTGAATATGGTGGGTGGGGAAGAACTTCCTTTTTTCCGAATAAGTTTTAATCAGGTTTGCATCATGTGGTCGAGTGTTATCATGCAGTAAAATTACCTAATTGTGCTTGTATTATGGTCGCTTTTGCTTCAGGGCTTGGCTCAAATGCATCAAGGCTGACCTGACCGGCCACTGATAGCAGAGTTGAGCTTGGCTGAGTCAGCTTTCGAAACCGAATCAAAGGTTTTTAATGAAAGGCCGGCCACCATATACTCAGCAGAGCTGAGCGCAGTTGAGCAGCGTCGAAAGGGACAGTTCCGCTCAGCTTTGACTTGACTGAGGTTTGGTTTTGAAGCTGTGCTCACAACTGTGTGGCTTTGTTCCTCAGTGTCATCCTTTCTTTCCGCTTGTTCTAACTACACAACCTCTCATATTATTTTTTTTTGATTCAGTATAAAATATGCAATGATTGTGAAAGAATTCTTTATCGAATGTGTAAAAGAAAATATATGATTTTATACACAAATATACAATTTTTCTTTTCGATTCCGTCATGACCAAATTTGCTATTTTTTAAAAATGTTATATATGCTAAATATATATATATATATATATTGTTTTAAATGTTATACAGAATATGAGGATACTGATGCAAGGCAAGTTGCTAAATGAGCTGGGGTCCATTACGCAATCTGTTGCCAACCCTCTCTAACTCCACTCCCGCTAAACTCAGCTCAGCTCCGCTTTCAGTGGCCAGTCAACCTAATTATAGTCTACAGTAATCTACCGTGATAATTTCATTGGGCTGAAGCAACTCTTATTAAACGACACCAAGCTAGTATCCCACGTTAAAGCAAAGCATGAGCTTGGAACCATGAATGTTCAGTTTTACTGTCAATGTTGAGGCCTGTGCAGGCAGTCTCCATAATTATTTTCACTTTGGGTTGTTATAGAGTATCCAATTTTCATCATTAGTTACGATACAATGTAGAAAACTTTTTTGTTTGTCATTGAAGGAGTTGTTCACTGGTGAATTAACGTTGTTCGATCACTCTCTTTCTTTCATTTGATACCCAAATTCCTTGCTTTTGAACCATTCCTTAAGCTTTCAGATGTTGTTCAATCAATTTCCAATGATTATCAGGTCCTTATCTCTGGCATGAATCTTCACAAAGGAACGCCTCCAAATTTTCATCTTTCAACTTTTTTTGGGTGCCTGGACAGTTATCTTCTCTGAGATTAAAATCATTGTCTTTAAAGCATTGAAAACATTTTATGTCCTTTAGTGGTAGTTTCTTCTGGAAAAAATAGTGTAATAAAATTCCTCTCATAAACGGTTTTGAGGTTAAGTAATTCCCCATGTTTGAAGAGATATGAAAAAAGCTGTTTACACTTTAAGGATTTAAAATAGACTGATAACCCATGTAATGCACATACGTAAAACAAAAATTCTTTAGATGACAAAAGTTGGAAACTTAATCACATACCCTATAAATATAATTACCAACTTCTTCCATTTTATTGAATTAAGGTGTGACTGGAATTATCAGTTAGGTATTGTGAGTAGCAAAGTTATATTTCACACCTTTAGCTTTGATTTATAATTTTCAGTGATAATATTTCTTATTAATTCCTGGGAAAAAATGGAATGATGGAGTTGGATAATTGTAAGTGAGGTCCTAGAAATTTGCTCCACTTCATCGTTCCATTTGGAGTGATCGTCAGTGCTCACCTTAGAAATAATTTACTAATTGAGTATCATTCATACCTATTTTCAACTTAACCATGCTATTAAAAGACGTATTTTTTAATGTTTTTTTACTTATTATTTTACTTAGCCTTAGTATATTTTTTTATCCCTTCGACATATTTTTATTTCTCTCCCTAAAAGCGCAAAAAAAACAACAAAAAATTTACCATGTGTACATAGACAAGAGCCATAAGGGCTCCATACAAAAGATAAGAAGCTATCGTGGAGTAGATAGTGCTTTAGATCACACTCTGATTAAAATCAAACTATATCAAAGAAGGAAGTATTAAGTCCATAATTAGAAAAATCCTGAGGTAAAAACCAATTCCAATTTGGGCTGAAGAATAAATTTGAACCCTTAGTGTCATAGGGCCTCACAGTGAACCAACCCTGGGAGATAATAGAGACAAGGCTAAATCTATGGAATACCACCAATCGATGTCCTTTCCACATTCTTCCATCCACCATGCGCCGTCTAAACCCAAACCTACCAGATCAGCCTTAACGCAATCTTCCCACCTTTGCTTTGGTCAGCACAGCAAATATTAACCTTTTAGGAATTATTTTGTTACTAAGTCCAAAAAGTTTACAAGCCCATTTAATTCTACGTGATGTAATCACCTCATTTTTGATCGTGACTCCGAAACTATGCATTTTATTGACATAATTGTTCTATACAAAGTTAAAGAAGATAAAATCTGCTATAAATTTTATACATAGCTTTTTGATGTATGACCAACTTTCAAATAGGTTATAATGATGTTCTTTGATAGATGCATAGATTTTTGGTGAAAACCTGACGAAAACAGATATTTCTTGTGAAATGAGCAAACAGTCAACTTGCTCTAACTCCTCACCTCCTGGTTGAGGAATTAGAGCAAGTTGACTCTTTGCTTAGTTCGTAAGAAATAGCTGTTTTCGTCGGGTTTTCCTCCAAAACTGATAATCTATGCATCTCTCGAAGACATTCATTATAGTCAATTTGAAAGAGCATTAAATTTCGTATATATCTCATGCAGATTAGTTAATATATAAGAAAGTAAGCGGCTGTTGAAGCGTATGGAATAAAAGGCGTATTTCAGTCTTAGTTTCTACTACACTCAACTTAAGCACTTTTTATCCATCCAATATTTTTGATTTGGCTAATTTAACTATATTTATTACAGAATTATAATGTATAAACGAATAACATAGGTTTTATATGTTCTGTTGGCATGAGGGACATTATCGTCCGTAACGATAATAAAAAAATTAAGGACTGAAATCTCTTAATAGGGGGAGCGATGCAACGCCATTTCACCTACTTGCAGAACAGTACTCTACATAAAGTTGAATTAAATTGAAGATGCATCAAAATTGTTATTGAGCTTGGTTATTAACTTTTAAAAAGAAAAGTTAAAAAGCCATTAGAGTGTTCCGACTTCAAAGCGCATTTTGGTCCTTAATTTTCTGACTATTACAAATGTTGATGTCTCTCATACTAACAGAATATATATAAGCTATGTAATTTGTTAAAACATTCTAGTTCTGTTATAAATATAGTTAAATTAGCCTAATCAAAAGCATTAAAAAGATAAAAAGCGCATAAGTTGCGTTGAGCGCTTAAGGTAGATACTACAAGTGAAATACACCTTCAATTCCGTGCACTTTAAAAGCCAAATATCTTCTCATGTATTAACGTGTTTACATGAGGTACATAGGAAACTTAGTGCTCTTTCAAATAGGTTATAATGATGTTCTTTGATAGATGCATAGATTTTTGGTGAAAACCTGACGATAACAGATATTTCTTGTAAAATGAGCAAACAGTCAACTTGCTCTAACTCCTCACCGCCCGTTGGTCCTATATCAAACAGCTATTCACAAAATGGATAGTAGATTTTTATCTTCTTTAACTTTGTACATAATAAAAATTTCGATACAATGCATAATTTCGGAGTCACCTCCAAAAAACTAAGAGTAAAGGATATTTCATTGTTTTTCATCGTTATAAAGATCACAAATCTCTTTATTTTTCCTACTTCGCCATGCCCCATTCTCATAGACACCACCAAACATTTATCGCAGCATCCTCCTTTCGAACTTGTCAAGCCTGTCATATATGTTATTATTTAATGTCCATGTTTCTCCTCCATGCGTAACCGCAGGTCTCATCTGGGTTTTATACATACAAATTTTAACTTTACGAAATATAATGTTACTTTTAACTATGTGCCTAAGTGGATAATAAGCTCTAGTTCCTGCTAGGATCCTTCTTTTAACTTCCTCTAATTTATTTGCTTCATTTGTCATTAAAAATCCTAGGTACAGAAAAGCCAACACTGATTCTGTGTTTTCTCCAGCAATTTCATAGCTTGATGGGTGTTGTCTGATTTTTTCTACGACCATTAGTTTCGTTTTCCAACATTTATTTCGAGACCAGCCCTTCTTGCCTCTTGTCTTAAGGCAGCATATGCCTCCTCAATTTCTTGCTTGCTTCTTCCTAAAATCACCACATCATCTGTGTATGCCATTATTTGTAGAAATTTATTTATGATAGTGCCATTTTCCATAACCTTTATGTTCTTTACTACATTATCAAGCACAAGATTAAACAACAGGCACTAGGACATCTCCCCATTTACTTTTATTTGACAATTGGAGTTCCTCATTGTCATCTTTGTAAGATAGTATACTGTGGACCTGTAGGTACTATCATAAGTAGCCCTTAAATCTATGAATAACCGTCATATGACCATATCATATTCCCACGTCTTTTCATTGATCTACTGCTAAGAAACGATTTGATCTATGGCTGACCTGTTTTTCCGAAAACTGCACTGGTAGTCACCAACCACCTGTTCGTTGTACGGTACCACTTGGTTGTAGAGTAGTGCAGCAAATATCTTATATGCAACATTTAGTAGAGTGATACCTCTATAGTTGCCACTTTCTGCCATGTCTCGTTTCTTGTAAACCACAGTTATAATTCCACAGTTCCAGTTTTCTTCCTCCCAGATGCGCTTCCGCCATGAGGCAGTGCAGCTCTCTCATCCTATATATATATATCCTTTATCGTATATATATATAAAACGTTTCCAGAACTCCTATATATGTGTTATACATGTTCTAAAAATGATATAAAATTAAAATACACATCCCCCCCTTCCGACGACTTTCTGTTAATTATTTACAGGAATTTTTGAAGGAGGCATCTCGAATTACTGGGAAAGAACTGTATACCATTCGCATTTATTTTGTGCAGACTAGTACTGAAATATGCCTTGCATAAAATAAAATAAAAAATATAACGTAAGTATAGGTCATTAAGAGCTTACATTACACTATAGGCAGCTGTACCTATTATTCTAATTTGCAATTACTTAATTCATTTCACAAAAAAGCATTTATTAATGTTTTTTATGTGAAACAGAGAAATTTATGTGAAAAATATAGAAAAAACAGGAAAATCTGAAGAAAAAAAAAAATGGTAAAAATCTTGGAATTTCTTGGAGGGCAATCGCTGGACACCCTGGTATAATATAATCCAATCTTAATAACCCAATGAGTTATCCAGTTATCCAATATTAGTCTGTGGGCCAGACCTCCCTACCGTGCAATCCCCCCCCCACATCCCTATGAACTGCATATTGTTGTGTTCCTTATTTGTGTTAACTATTTATTAAGAAAAAAGCCAATGTTCCCACAAAAAAAAGTTTACGCACTGCCCCAAATATGGCGGATTGACGACTTTGACTTTAATTAGTTTTTTGGTCATTGAGAATCAGCATTTGGCTTAATTTCCTCATAGTTGGTCTTTTACTAAAGCTGAATAGTCTGAGAATAATAAAACATGAACAAATGTTAAAAAATAATTGACTTAGGCAATAAAAAACACCAGAAAAGTCAATTTTTTTAACAAAAATATTTTCAAGTTGAAAATCAAGCGTTGTTTGTAATTAAATGGCCAACAATAAAGCAAAATGTGCTGAAATGCTCTTTCTAAAACACTGATTACTTTTAAAATATTTGAAGCAGTTCCATAGAAAATACAATTAAGCGGCAGAAAAGCGCTACTGGCGTAGGTGCCTACAGGCCTCTACCACATCATTCAGTACTCATAAATGGCTTAGTTATAGTGATATAATTACTTTTTGGTACATTATATTGGTTTTATTGACGAACAAATATTAATGCGATCATTTTATTGTAAAAAAAAAATTTAACAATTTTTTTAAAAGTTATTATCTACAACCAAGTAACCTCCTTCCAACTTCCTCCTCACAGTATCATTCAATTATATTCTGCTTTTACCTATTTAGCAGACCAGCTATGTAGGACTTCATATGGACCAGCTACCCTGGGTACTGCTAATGGTGGGAGAACTAAATCCATAGTCTTTCGATTAAAACCCGCCCTTCCACTGGTTGGAAACTCCTGTTCTCAACTACAAATCTAATTTTAGACAAGTGTTGTAAATTTGTAATTTCTTACTATAGGCTCATTTATATCATTATAATCAAGGATGTTTGGAAATATATAGTACAGCTTTCGGGAATTGTCTAGAGCATTTAATCCAATCCCATATCCAATACTTATAATCTAAAATCCTTTATTGAAATTGTTGATAGTCGTCTTCACAGTAATACAAAGTTTGGATAAAGAGACTAGTTTGGACTGTGTTACCATATACGAACAGAAAGGGGAGCTGTGTACTAACTCCCCTAGACAGCTGGCGCCAGGCCATCCCCACTGTTATATCCATTTTCTTTCTTATTTCTTTACTGTCTTATCTTCTTTACGTTTAGTTCTTATGTATGCTGCTAATTATTATCTTTTCTTTTTTTGTTTGTCCTGGGTTGATCAAGGGTTTTGTAAATTTTCTTTGCTTGTATTTTACATTATAAATCACAGAAAAAAAAACAAGAGAGAGACGTGTGCTTATTTTGATGAATTACAAATTATTACAACAAAATAAAACAAAACTAAAGATTAAGTACCTATCATGCAATGGGTTTTATCAAAAGCCTTAGTGACTCGTGTATAATCTTAAGGCGTTTTTTGAAAGATCGTTTGACCTTGCAGAAATATGGCTTGTTTTTTTACAAACACTTAAATACATACTCATTTATTGTGGAAGGTAGTTGGTAAATAAATAGGTAATACCATAATTATATATAATATATATATATAATATACATATATATATATATATATATATAATGTACATTATTATTCTCAAAACATTATACATAGTGCTACTTTGGATCCACAAATAAAGACATTTTCAGTCATGAATACTAGACGTGGTTTCAATTTTTTTTCTTGAGTAATGGAATTGTAGATAAAGACTTTAAATATGCATATCAATAAATATTGAATGCAAATATGCTCGCCTCAAAAAAATTCTAATGATCCTTATTATTATGCCAAGTTTTTTACCTATTTCTTTTACATGAGTTTAACTAACTAGAGTTTGTTAAACATTGTAATATCAGTAATTTGCTTGATGTGTAACATGGAATTAAAGGGATTATGAGGATAGAAGAAGAGGCAGTGCAAGAGGGCTTCCGGTGTATAGCAGGTTCCGAGCTTTCATTCTTGTAAAGAGGATTATATGCTCTTATTATGTTAAAAATAAAATTATTCAAAATTAATCTTTGTCGTGGTACAGATTTAGCTTGAAATAAATTATGAACTATCTTTCCATTGAAAACTCCTTACCCACTAAAACCACCTTGTTTCTAATGTTGTTCTCCTGTCAGTTCATGATAATTCTACAAGGCATCTGGCACGGAAAAGGGTGTTAATAATGTGTCGTATCAATATAGTAATAGTTTGGAGTGCTACCTATGAGTAGTATTTCAATATTGTTTTACCATAAAATGTGATATTATTCATATTGAATATTTACTTATTTATGTTTTGTATTAGTATATAGTTGTAAATCTCAATCAATAAATTATACAAACAAAAAATTATCAAGATTAACATTCTTATTCTTTATTTTATCAGATTGGGCAGAAGAAGCTGTCGCAAGAGCTGAAATTTTAAGATTAATTTATCAAGGGCGTTTCCTTCATAGTAATGTGACTCTTGGGGCACTTGGTCTTCCTTACGGGAGGACTACTGTCATGCATTTAGTCCCTAGGGAAAACCTGCCAGAACCAAATTCTCAAGGTAGTGATGAACATCAGCACTATTTATTACACATAATAATGTTATGTTTTATTTTATTGGGTAAGACCAGTATGTTTTGTATTAATTCTATGTCTAAAAGTTTTAGTATTATTGAAGAAATAATTGATTCTTCCCATTGACATAGAATTTACATTTAGTTGATATAAATATTTTTTAAATTTAAGTCAGTAAAAAATGTGTGGTTTTGTTTTACAGCCATCGAGGCCATTAGGCGTCCCTGAAACCTATACTCTAATGTAATAGTATAACATTTTCACATTTTACTCCTTTATTTAATCGTAAATATAGAATATCCCCCTTCCTGACTTGTTAATCTATATTTTATTTTCTATAGTCATACATGAAAATTATTTTATAATTTTGTAATACTTAACTTTGAACTTATTTCTACAGATTATTTTCCTACATAATTCAATTTTTGTGTTTTAGGAATAATGTTGTTTATTCTTATAATTTTATGAGTTTATTATATTCTGATCATAGATTAAAAGGCCAATACACCTAACTAGAATACTACTTTCTGTATCTTTTAGTGTAAATGAGACCAATACACCTAACTTGAACACTACTTTCTATATCTTTAAGTGTAAATGGCATGAAATACATCTATGACTATGTGAAAATAAAAAAATTAAAATCTATTCTGGATGAATATTGAAGAAAAAACAATGAATAAATCATAATGAATCACTTCCATGTTCAAAATGTACGAGTTTTTAAGATGTATAAAAAAAATTTCTCTAACTGAAATAATAAGTAATAATTACGTCTTTACAACATACTAAAAGTGTCTGTCCCTAATGGTGAGTGTTGAGCATTAGGAGAAAAATAAGAAGAAAATTAAATTTTATTCTGGGACTAATTCCCCTTAGAAAAACTACAATGTACAATTTAATGACAATTGTCTGGCATTAGGAATAAATTAAATTACAAGGTTATCTAGATCTAAAATTACAATAAAGAAAAGGCACTAGTGAAATTGTAGATAAATTCATATATGTGAGTTCACATATTTGTAAACAATGTGGATGATATATAATTATCTGTAGGATAACATTAAATGCGACTAACAGATCTTAAAAACGTTAACATTATTTAACACATATTCGGAAGATTGATTGATGAGGAGATGGATAGATAAATTATGTTAAAATGAGGTCAAGGGTGACAGTTTAGATTCCAATAGAAGGTACCATGTAGTATAACAAAAGATTTTTTAAAGGAAACAGTTCTATGAGAAGGAATAAAAAAGTTTGAGTTTGAACCCATTGTTCGACCCAGGGGGGTCCCTTAGGGTCACATCTCCTGAATTAGTGAACAGAGTTATGTCGATGTGAGTGCATCAGTTCGCCCGTAAGAATTTTTTTAGTGAAACAACTTTTTCCATTTCGCCAAAAACGTGTTAGCCTATTGTCGAAAGCAACGCATGGCTGTGAAATTTTGTTTCTTGTTGGGGAAATCTGCTGTAGAAACTATTGTAATGCTTAAAACTGCTTATGGGGATGCTATCCTAAGTAAAACCAGAGTCTACAAGTGGTTTTTCACGTTTTAAAAATGGAGGCCCAGTGTTATATGTCAATTGAAGATAAACCCCGTGCAGGACGCCCCTCAACACCAAGCATTGATGAATACTTTGACAAAATCAATGCTCTCGTTTGTAAAGACCGTCGCTGAACCATTGATCAACTCTGTGAGATGTCTGGAATATCATGGAGTTCAATCAAGATGAAAAGAGTTGCAGCCAAATTTGTCCCTCGCCTTCTCACAGGCAAGCAAAGGGAGTGTCGATTTCATCAGGCATGTTTTGAGATTTAAAGGCAGCTCAAAGAGGACCCTGGATTTTTTTCCCAAGGTGATTACTGGTGATGAGTCATGGAAACGCCAGTTCTTTTTAGCTTCAGCACCATAAATCTCCCCAATTCTGTTATTTATTAGACACTGACTAATTCTACAGATGGGTTTAGGAGCTGTGGAAATTTTTTGTGAGCCTAGTCTGACTAATTCATCCACCATCTCATTACCATGAATGCCAGAGTGACCCACCCAGAACCCATTCAATGTTTATCTTATTAAGTCTGGATAAGTCATTGAGAATTCTCACACAATCTTTAACAGCTTTAGATCTAGTTGTATAATGGTCCAGTGCTAGTGTAGCCGCATATGGAAATTTTCCTCCCACTAGCCCGTCAAGCAACATTTTTTAGGTGAGTTATCACCAGTATTTCAGACTGGAACACCATTGCATAATTGCCGTGTGGTATTTACATCCCTTCCTCTGGTTCATCCTTTCTCCAAAAGCCAGTACCAGATCCGCATGTCATAAGTGACCCATCAGAAATTAATGTTTATCATACTATTACAATATTAAAAAAAAAAAAAAAAACAATATTTCTTAGTAAAGGTATTATTTTTTAGTAAAATCTTATCTGATTTGTATTCTTCAATTTACCTTCCTTATTATATATATATATATATATATATATATATATATATATTTTTTTTTTTTTTTATTTCTCATTGTGTCCTAAACCAGGTTCTATCCCAGATAATTATTTTATTTGTATTACTTTATTCAGAACAAACCATAATCCATCATCCTAGTTGGTCCTCCAAATCTGCCAGATAAACTTTGGCATAGATTAATGGCTACCTAAGATGACCTTCCATTGGGCCTAACAGATACATTAGGAAAATGGGTGGTAGAGGTCAGCGGAACAAGCAGCAATAGTGAAGTATTTACCAATTGGAATATCAAATGGCAGCAACTGTGTATAATGGGTTATTAAAAAACTTTAAAACTTTAAATGATCTAAGGGATTGAACAGCACCAGCAGTTGTAAAACAAAAAGTCAGGGCATTGTGTGCATCACACAACTTTCACTTACCACCCTTTTTTTAAAAAGCAGAAATAGGTATTTTCAGACAAAGGGAAATTGAAGTAGATAATAAAATAAATCAGGTTTTTAAAAATATTTATTAATGGAGGGGTTGAATGAAGTGGTATAGGTCATTTCCATAATAAATAATTAATTGTGTTTAGTATTTTGAATTCATATTTTATTTTTTGACTTGAGCATCCACAAAAAAAAAAAAAATTAATGTTTTAAACAATTATAAAGTTCATTAGTTATTTATGCCTTAAAATTTTTTGTTCCTTAAAAGTGGCATAAATTAACTTTAAAATTTTCTTTTAAAGTTAATTTATGCCACTTTTACTCTCTATCAAAGTAAATGTATAAATTGTGTTTTAAATACTTTTAACTGAAAATAGATACATAGTTTTGTTCTCCATTAGCATTGAATTCGGCAAGAATTTCCTCCCTAGCCCTTTTTTTTTTTTATTGTATTTGAAACAGTATCTGTATCTTTATTTTCTATAATATCAGCTTTTTGGAGTACTAGAGATGTGAAGAACTGTAAATCAGTAACTCCTCTCCACAAAAGCTTTTTCTTTATATATCACTCATCTATATAATAAGAATATTTAAAAAAAAAAAGATAACAATAATTCAATATGTATTTGAACAGTCCAATTACCTCCTTTACTTACTAGATGTAACAAACGTTACACAACTTTTTTCACTAACAGATACAGCACAAAAGACTTCCTACCATGGAAAGTTTTCTCTAATATAGTAACATTGAAAGTTAACTGTCATCTGTCTGTCTGGGGTTGTCTGGCATTATGAATATTGAATATGTTGTTGCAATTTAATTTATTAATGCTTAATTAATTGGTTATAATCTATTTTATTTTCCTTTTCAGACCAGAGACAAAAAAGTAAGGGTGGTGGTAGCAGTTGCTGCTCTGCTTCATGCAGCATTCTCTAAACATCATAATATGTCTTCTTGATTTCAAAATGTGATTTTTAACAGTTCCATGTTTAGGGAATGCCTTGGATGATATTACCAATGCTCCTGTTTATTATTATGCTAGTTTTAACATATTTTTAGTGATATTCTTCCAAGAAGCATCCATGACATAAATTAGCACTTTTTTGAGGACTTCTAACAGCGTTAATATGTTGTGATATTCATATTACTAGAAATAAAGTGAGTTGCATTGTGGTTAATAGTCATCTATATGACTACAAATTTTAAGATATTTTCTGAACATAATATGGTTTTCTGACAAGGAATTTGAGTGAATCTCTACCATGATTGATTTAAGCTCAGTAATTTCCACTAAGTGGGCGGCAATTAAAAGGTCACTTAACCATAGCAAATCTTCATTGTTCAAGTACTTATCTAAAAAATAAATGATCAATAAATTTCTAATATCACAAGTTAGAAACTCAAATTTCTTGCAATTAATGTTAATCGTTATTGACAAAATTATTTGTTGATTCATTGGTAGGCATATTTCATCCATTCTTAAGTATTTCTAACTACTCAAGCATTCCTCAAAGCAAGAAGAAATTGTAGAAATTATACCAAGTTATATGAAAAATATTAACATTGCTCTATCTCAAGGTTGTTTGCATAACGATATTTGTTATTCTTACAACTGTGATTACACAGAATTATATATTATACATATATATGAATGTTATAATTATAAAAATTGAAATGTTGATTTGTTTAACTCATATATTTTAAAACAAACAAATTTTATCACAAACTGTGTATTTTAAAAATAGCTTATATGTATTGAAAAGGAAATATATTGTTATGTGTGATGTTTGTGCGTTATGGCATCCGTATCTACATGCAAGTTAATGCATGTATGATGAAAAAAAATATATATAATAAATAAAACTAAAATGCACACATATTATACCTAATTTCCTATATAAAAATGAACAATTTTAGCTTATAAAATATAATAGAAAAATTATTGTAGGTTACAAGGAAAAGCCGTATTTGAGACCATTAATTATTTATGCATTTTAAATTGCATGCAAGTTCCCTATTGAAATGATTATTTTTATTTCTTTGTAGGTTTATTTTATTTTTGAATTGTCTGTTAAAAATTATATTTTTTAAACATATTTTAATTATTCCATGTTATGAAGTAATATTTTTATTTATTAACATATATATGCATGTTTGTGAATATATACACACATACATGTGTATATGTGTGTATTTCTTTTCAAAATGAGGTAGCTATTTTTATTTCTCAGTAAATGGAATATGATTTATTGGTTGGTCGAAAGTAATGAGTGGTTATTCCTGAAAACTTATTTGTTCCCCTTAAATAATAGTATAGTTTATTTAATGTTTTATCCCAATTTTAACTGTATATGCTCATTAATTATTGCTTGTTAATTGAAGGTGATTAAAAATGTTTTATGAAATAAATAGTCTATGAAAGTTTTCTACATTTAAAATAAATAGATTTTGGGGAACAAAGTGCCATATTTATATTTCTCAGAAATATCCTGTTAATGAATTGATTATATGTATATATTTTCTTTAAAAATGAAAAGTTAAATGTTTAATTTAATTTTAATCCATTTTAGATGATATTTTTACAGATACAGTAAATGACTTAAGCTATGTTATGATAAATTTTTTTTTTAATTAAGTACAAATTTGACTAGTTCTACTTGCCAAGTCATGAAACTATTGAATGATAATATAATTGACATTTGTTTTAAAAAAGTATATTTATTGAAATATACTTATCGATTAATCATTTATTTAACCCGTGATTAAATTTACACTCAGCTTTGAGGCAACGTTGTTCATAATAGTTCTTTAAGTTGACTTTTTGTTTGTATTATTCATTTTTCACAAATTTTTACTGATATGCATGTATGAAGTTTAAAAATTTATTATAAATCAACAAATTGCTGCCTACTTCATAAAACAGTATTTAAGGTGTATTTTTGTGTTGTGATTGTTATTAAAATGTAAATAGATATATTTTTACTGTTTTGTTTTAGTATTACCTTTACTACTTATTACTGTTCTAAATTTCAAGATATTGAAAACTATTTGTTTGCTGGTTTGAAGTCTTCTTTCATTCAACAGACTATGTTTTAAATGTTTGTTTTTTTGCAGTATTATCTTTACTACTTATACTCTTCTAAATATCTCATAAGATCCACATGGGTTGTAAGAAAGTTGTGGTTTCCAATCCCTCAATATAATAATAAATACTCTTCTGAAGTTTAAGATATTGAAAACAATGTCTGAACTGGTTTAAAGAAGTCCCCTTTTATTTAACAGATTATATATTAATTTTTTATTTATTTATTTTTTTTTTTTGTGGTATTATCTTTACTGCATAAGTTGTGGTAAGAAAGGGTTTCCAATCCCTCAATATAATAATGAATACTCTTCTAAAGTTAAAGATGTTGAAAACTGTTGATTACGTTCTTTAAAGTAGTCCCCTTCTATTCAACAGATTGTGTTAATTGTTTTTTTTTTTCAGTATTATCTTTACTGCATGGCTTGTGGTAAGAAAGGGGGTTTTCTATCCATCAATATATAAATGTTTTATTCAACTGATTTAATGGTCTAGATTTTTCTCCACAGTATAGTATTGACAAATATTTATAACGCAATGGATTGATATGGTGAATTATGTTGTGTGTTTAGCACTTTAAGCCGTGAGTAATATTTGTTATTACGTCTGTAGAAATGAAATATTGATTGTTAATAAAGTTGGTTTTTGCTATGTTATCCTTTACTGATATACTTTATATGAAATGAAATCGTATAAATAAATGTATGCTTCATTCATTCATCTGTTCTTTTTCATAGTGCAACTAACTAATATTATTAAGATATTTTGATTGAAAAATGCTAGTTTATTTGTAATACATATTTTTAGATTGTTTTATTTTATTTATTTATTTTTTAAATGATCAATTGAAATACATGCATATCTTTAAATCTTGGAAACAATACCCTTTGCTTATTTTTTATGTTTTTTTGTAATAAAAGTGCGGATGCTTATTATTATTTTTATATGTATATTCTCACAAATGTGTGTGTGTTAAAGTGTGTGTAGTTGTATGTATATATGCATACACACACATGAATGTCTAAGTGAAATATTTTGTAAAATATATTTCAGTTTCTAATGTTAAAATATATATTGGTGTTTACTTGCAAATAAATTGATGTTTAACATTTTAAAAATACATAGAAGTATTATTCTTAATTTAAACTTAGTATTATTTGCTATTTTGTGATATAGCTTGTTACATTTTTCTAAATTTTTCTCCTTTTATTTCATTTAAGTTTTTCCAAATATATATAGAGAAATGAAAACTATTTAAACAATCAGATGTAATTTTTATCATATTTTTCAGTATAAAATGTAAATATGTAATGCCATTATAGAAAAATAATGTGTAAAATAAATCTAAATGTGAAAATATATTCAATGTTATCAAGTTTATATTCAAGATTTGCTTAGAGTATATGTAACATTTTTGTACAAATATGGTTAAAGATGGCTGTTGTTTCTCTTCTTATTTCCATGTATATATTAGTGATGTAATATTTTTTTAAATGTAACTGATTAAAATACTTTTGTTGCATATACCATACTTTTTTGTAATTTTTATTTTTTAGCCAAACATTCTGAGTAGTGTTAATTCATAATATTAGAATAAAATGAAACACTATTTGTTCTATAGTCTTTTTTCCTGTTAATACCTGATAACATTACTCTACATTGAGTTCCTATTTCTGTAATGATTTTATTTATTTTGTTGTATAAAATAATAATATACATATTTAATAAAGCGTGTAACTATTAAGTTGTTTTCGGTTTCTCAATTCTGATACTTATAGTCAGTTGCTAGAGCATAGCATCATTACAATTATTTAATTTATAAAAACTTTTTACTAAGTATTGCTTATATTTAATAAATATAAGTATTGAATTGTGGCAATTGTATTTTCTGATACAATAACAATACTTATAGTTAACCAGCTATAAGTGGCTATTTTAAAAGTAATTTTCATGCTTATCTTCTAACATCTAATTTTTTTCTCTTGTTAACCTGAACATTGCTGTGAAATTAAAATGCTGATGTAATTATTTCATAACTTTTTTACAGTTAGGCATGTGTTATTTAATTCTTGTTTTCAATTTTTTTTTTTTTAATTTTTCCTATGAAAACTTTATTGCATTCAAGACAGTCAATTTTGTGAACTAAAACTTATTTTGAGCCGTACCATCAATATTGATTAAAATCATTATGTTAAAGTCCATACAAAAACATCAAAACAAAACATCCATATAAAAGTTGTTTACAATTAGAAACACCTGAATATATAGGAATTAATAATGAAAACAAACATTGATTTAGACAGTGAACTCCATCAAGATTAATTCTAAAATAGGACAGCCCCAAAATGTGATTGAATATAGTCTAGGCAAAATTGGAGAAGTTTTGTTGTGAATTTGGGTGCACTTGTATTATTTCGGTAATACAATTGTACAACAATGAATATGAGGTTTGCTTACAGAAATTTTGTCCAGAATCTTGTTTTGTTTTTGTTTTTTTCAAATATGCTCCTTGCACAACCGTTGACCAAGAAACAATGCTTCCTTACAAGGAACTGAACTCTAGACGACCCTAATTGTGTTGTGGTACAGGTTTTAGTTCTTATAGTTTATATATGTTAAGATTGGTACTTTTTGTCTAGCGGCCGCCACTGACTGCTATCTGCCAATGTTTATAACCTGAATACAGATAACTCCCATAACACAGTGATAAGCCTTCTACTTCATATCTTCGTATTATTGAAAGTGTAAACAGATACAAAAACAAATGTAATAACAAAAAAAAAAAAACTTATTTGACGACACATATATTAATGAAATAACAAAAAAACACTTTAAGAGAAGATATGTACATATAAAACATCAAAATAAAATAATAAAAAAACACATTTAAAAGAACATTTACATAGAAAAGAAAAAATAGTTCCCTCTTCTATATTTTCTTTAATTGCTTGTAATAAGGTTGTTGCCTTTCTGTCAATTATTTTGACGATAAAACATTCATATGTTTCTCGGCAAACTCCACCAAACATCCACTGCTGAGATAAAATTCTCCGCACATGATTTTTTCGTTTAGAAAAAAGACTTTCGTATAGTTCAACCACTTTGCCAGGTCCTCCAATTTTTTTTTCTTGGCCTGTATAACATATCATGAGCACAAACCTCTCTTAGACATTGGTTCCACGTTACCATAGCTCCGTAGGATAGTTTCAGCTGCTCTTTGCCCCACTTCATCGTATCAAGCTATGGGACCACCCATAAATCAATTTTAAAGCTGTTAAAAACGAAATCCTCGAGCCCTCCAACCATGTTCCTTTTCTTATTGAAAGTTTTGTGTTTCAAGTCCTACGAAAGCATCTCCATTTGGCCTTCCTGGTTAACTTCATTCGATGACCTCGTTCACACAATTTCACGTCGGCAAGTACCCCAACATTTTGAAAATATTGAATTGCATGTTCTTCTGAAGATGGCAAATCCCATATTGTAAGAAGATCCATAATATGACGAAAATAAACACAAAGGGGCCACACACTAAAAAAAAATGTAAAATAAACACAAACGGGCCAAAAGTAAAGAATTTAATAAGTGAACGTAATAAGGGAATACCTGAAAACTAAACAATGCAATAACTCAAAAGTTTGGCGTGATAAGAAGAGGGAGGTTATGTAACGTGACGTTAGATAAGAAGTGAGGTTTCAGGACGGCCCGCTAGACAAAAAGTACCTTAAGATTTTTATATTATATTATAAAATTTCAACTTTCACTTGACACTTTCTTGTGTCTTTTTCAGCCCTGATGACCTAATAAGATGGATTGAAACATTAAAATTTAACAAATGTTTAATAATATAACAATAATACTGTATTTATTCTGGGACGAGTCCCTTTAGAATAATACAAAAATACTGAAATATGGGATAAGGAGCTTCAGAGATACATAAATAATAATAATAATAAATATTGACTACTATTTAATGAAATTTTTGGACCATCGTTTTTTTTTATTATTTTTATTAAACCTAAACTTGTCTGAATTCTTTTACTTTTCCATATTTCTGATCCACACAATAGGACTGAGCGGATTAATGTCTTGTAAAGATGAAGCTTGGTCTGCTGGGATGAAAGGCATAAGTTAAATTCCCTGCGGAGGCCAAAGTAACATTTGCTGACTGTCAATATTCTTCTCTTCATCTCAAGCTCGTTTACATTACCTTGAGTTTAACAGTAACACCGAATAAGTGAACTGGGCCATATTTATTTCTTCCTCAAAGTTAAATGGACCAATATTGATGGTTTGTTTTGCTAGGTCAGGGGACTTCTTGTACATAGTTTTCCATTTGTTTGCCTCTAAATCAAGTGATCTGATGGCCTTTGTCATAACAGTTTTATATAAATGAATGTAGTCTAAGTAAAACACAATAGTTTTGTAGAAATACATAGTTCATTTTAAGACCAATATTGTTTACTTCAAAGGGGAAAATAAATTTACAACTTTAATTGAGTTCCTTTATTATTTATTAAAGTTTACATTTCCCCCCTTATGATTAACAATATAATGGAATGATTAATTAAAATTCTGTATTATTTGAAAAAATTCAATAGGCTTCTGTTGCTTCTGAGATTTTCTTATTGAAGGAAGTGAAGTCCAACAGTGCAGAATGGATACGAAAATGAAGGCGTGATTCAAGGGAATACCCAGAATAATTTTTTCTAAAAAAAAAAAAAAAAATTAAATTAAATGATTTCACGAACATATCACTATTTTAAAATTAAATTGAAAAAATGAACAATGTATAGTTGTTTAATGAAATAAATAGGTATTAAAAAAAACAAAAACTCATCCCTTCTCGTATAGAAGGTCATTTACCTGAGTAGGATTTCCTAATCCCAGTTTTGATATAACAGCAAATAGCAGTGCTTTATAACCAATTATACCTAATATTTAAGATTTGTGTCAAGTGGGCTAGGTTTGCTTCAGTTTGACTAAAAAACTGCTGACATTTGAAGTACATACACTATAATTTTAAGAGAGAACATATTTTGATCTAACTATTTGGCTCAGATCACCCACAAAAACCAATATGTTGTATCAATGAAAAAACAATTATTTTCAAATGTTAATGGGTTTCAACCTGAACCCCCCCCCCCTTTGAATCTGATAGTTCCTTGAAAAGATAATTAAATTATGTTTCACTAATGTACAAAAGAGGTTTTATGAATAGAGCCCTTACAGTACTAGGAGTTCATCTTGAATGTCGCTAAGAGGCTATTGACCTATAAGGTATTAAGAAATGAGAGAGAGCGATAAAAACGAAAATTTTGCAGGACTTCTTTTATTAATATTTGTATACCCAACTTTGATCACCTTCAAAGTGATTCCCTTTATCTTGGGGAGAGACATGGTAGCCTAGTGGGCTAACGTATGCCACAAACATACATTGTCTGGCACACAGCCTAATAAACTGAAGATTACCAGTTCGAGTCATGAAGCTGAGAGTTTTAAATAAATATGGCATAAAACCCTCTTCCCTGCCCCCGAAAACTCCATAAGGCCTATTTGACTAAACAAATAGACTAAAACCAGGCTAGGTAGGGGAGATAAAAAAGATTCCCATTGTCTATAATTCCAACTGTTTCTGCTATTGTTCAAAACTGTTTTTTAATTCACTTATTGTCCTTTAGCCTATCCAGCAATTTTTGTTTTACCTCCTCCATAGTCTCAAAATGTTTGCCTTTCCTGTTCCTTTTGAATCTGGGGCACAGAAAGAAGTCTCACAGGTCCATGTCTGGTGAATAGGGCAAGTCTTCAAATAAAATCCTCTCAACTGAACTCTAAGCCACTCCATACATCTCAGAGAGATAATCAATTATTTGGTGACGACAGTCTTCACGAACAAGGGCATTGATTTTTTCAATGTTGATGTTGGTTCTTGAAGCTGAAGGGCATCCAGAACAAGGTTGGCCTTCAATCAACATCTCTCCATGAAAACCACTTGTAAACATGTGTTTTGCTTAATCCTCATAATCTTCCTTCCCACCCTCCTCTCCATAATCAAGCATCAAAAGAGTTTCCGTAGACATTTTACCCAAAATAAAATAAAATTTCACAATCGCCCATTGCTCCTAGCAGTCAGGGATCTCATGTTTTCACCAAAGCGAAAAAAGTTGTACAAAAAAATTCCCAGATGCACTCACAACAACCAAAATTTTGCACAAGTTACCCCATAGAACTCACTATCAAAAAACCGTATCCCCTCTCACCCTCCCCATCACAGCCCCATTCCCGAAACTTTTGGATTCATCTTTATATAAAAATATATTCATTGAATTTCTAAGAAAGGATGGGGCAATGAATAAAATTTCTAAAACACTTGAATTCAAGTTTGTATAAAACTATTGTACATTTAAAATTAAGCAAATATTTTAGAAACTGTAAAAATGAAATTAAAAAACTTTTATGTTGAACTAACACACAAAAATGCGAGTATCATGGTACTTTTAAGCCACAAGGAATCATTATTCTAATAAAAAAAACTGCTAAAAAGAGCTTACAGCAATAACCAATAGAGCATGAAGAAGATATTCATGTAATAAATAGCTTATGTCATATTATTGATATTAAATTCAATTAATATAAATTAAAGGCCAACTTACTTAACATTTTCTAGAATCTGAACAGCTTTTTGGATGTCTCCTTGTTTAGCATAAACTAAAGAAAGTTCCACTAAACCAAATGGCACTAAAAAGGTATCAACTTTAATTTTTTTTTCCAGTGATATAACTTGTTTAAAACATTCTTCAGCTTGATAATAACTTTTCAATTGAAAAAGACAGGCACCTTTTAACAGCAAAAGTAGAGCTTTGTTATCATATTCAAAGTCGCTATTTGAAACTGGAAAAAAAAAATGAAAACAACCATGAAAAAATTATAAAAAAAAATTAAAAATATTTTATTATAGCCCAGTAACCTTGTACATCGTAAGTTGCATTGAATGGGGGTAGGTTTCTTTTTTTTTTCTGGTATGGGATGTGACTGAGATGCAAAATCCAAATTTTCGACCTTGACGCCTAAACTAGATTAAATATACTACAATTTAACACCCTAACAGGTTCAGTAAACCAAATAGTTTATGAAATACAGATTTTCAAATTTAAAAAAATTGTATTTTCCATTTAAATTATTTTTCATGTTTAATCATATACAATTGTCTTTTATCTTCAATAACCTGTCTGATATGAGTTAGGAAAGTAAATATTATTCATTTTAATATTTTGAAGGAAGGGGGGAAGATTTGGGGAAAGGGTAGTCCGTGGGGCAGAACCCCCTTCCGTGCACCCTCTCTCCACATCACTATAAATTGGATATCACTGTGTTCCTTGTAACTATATGTTAAAAAAAAGGCAATGTTACCACAAAAAAAAGTGGCCCCACTGTCCCAAAATGGCGTCCAAACATGGCTGAGTGACGACTTTGACCCGAGTTAGTTTTTCGGTCATTGAATTTCAGCAGTTGCCATAATTTTGTCATAATCGGTGTTTTATTAAAGCATGATAGTCAGAGTATAATAAAGCATCAAAAAAATGATTGGCCTTGGCAATAAAAAATAAAGTCAATTTTTTCAGGTTGTTCAAACTAAAGTTAAAATCAAGCTTCATTTGTAATTAAACAGCCAACAATAATGAAAAACTCCCTGAAATAACACATCTAGAGAATACATTTATCTTTCTAAATCACTGATTATTTTTTAATATATTTGAAACAGTTCTTTAGAAAATACTCTTAATCGGCGGAAAAGCGGCACTGGCGTAGCCACCTACGAAAAAGATCGAACGCAATAAATGACTTAGGTCATTCTAGCTCACTTATTTTATCTATTATTTATAGCCTTTCCTATATACATGTATCCTACTCCTTCAAAATAATAACTTAAATAAATGTTTAATTCACTAACTCTTATAAGGCAGGTTATTGAAGATATAAACATGAAATTAGCTAAACATTTTCAAGTTTCAAAAATTTCATTCACTTCATTTACTATTTTGGTAGGCACTTGATGTAAATGTTGGTTAAATAATTTTTTTATTTCAATTTCAGTCTTCTAGTTGTGAAAAGTCGAAAACTTGGATTTTGCATCTCAGTCACATCCCATACAAGAAAAAAAATAATAGAAATCTTCAACCCCATTTGATGCAATATAGACCCCTTTTTTCATGACAAGGTTAGTAGGCTATTATAATTTTTTAAAAATATTTTGTTACCTATAAATATTGAAAGATATTTTGAAAAAAAGTAAGCAAAGTAAGCTAGAATGTTTAGAATAGAACATTCTCGGTATAGATAAATGAAAAGTAATTACTAAATAATAGTAATAAAATTTGAGCCTAGATTATGCGCAGTAAAAAAATTATGAAATAAGAAATAAAATGGACAACATGTGCAACCAACAATAAAACCCTGCCATTCACTTCTTTCCTATAGAAACAAATTACATTGCTTTTGTTTTCTTACATAAATTTACCATTTTTATTCATAAAATTGGGTTGTGTGGAAATATAATTCAATAAAATAAAATGTTCAAAGAAATTTATAGAAAATATTTTTACTAAAAATATAAAGTAACTGTTAACTTTTATTATTTAATTATCATGGTAAATGATGTTTGTTTAATTTTAAAACTATAATAGACTTCTAGAAAATTTAAGATTAATTAAAAAATCATAAACAGTGAACTCTCACTAATCCAAACTAATTAAAACCAAGAGGGTTTGGATTAGCAAAAGTTTTGGATTACCGAATGGAAAGAAAAAGGTCACTTCATAAAAAACAAATCCATATGAAAACAAAAATTATAAATTACTTTACATAAAAATATTTTTACAATAATAATGATTAATTATTGCAAAAAATATATATATTTTTTTATTGTTAAGGAATTTATTTTTTAAATATTTTCTTGTAAAATAATCGGACATTTTCGTTTGTTTGGAACCAACCAATTACTATTGCATTAAAAATACAATTTTGCACTGAAGATTAAATTAATTAATTGAAAAGATTAATTATATCAGCCAATAAATATATACACTTCCAAATTTTAATATGTACATATCTTCGATTTTATTTTAAATAAAAGGTATTTTTAACTAGATTATTTAAGTCTCAGCATATAAGGTGTTGATAAAATGGTTTTATTGATAATATGTGCTACATACATAAAATCAAATCTTCAATTTTTTTTTGTGGGGTGGTTTGGATTATGGTCCGAATTAGCGAGAGTCCACAGTATGTCATTTGTTTTCCAATAATCTTCTTACAAATATATAACTCTCTTGAATCTGTGGTTTATACCATTGTGTACATAAAGTGATCCCATACTTATCAATTTTTTTAAGAGTTAATTTTTTTACTCTAAACAGGTTAACAGTATTTTTTTTTCTCAATGTGCTTTCATTAGCACTTTTTAATTTAATATTTCCATAAGCACTTTATTTAAATGATTAGAAGTTTCAATTTTATTTGTGACTGAAATCAACAGTTCAAGTTACAGATGGGATCACAAACTTCAATGATACTAGGTCGAAAAAATGCTATGATAAAGACAGTTCTAATATGTGGCAGTGAGACCTGGACACTAACCAGCACCCTACAAAAAAGTATTGAAAGATTTGAGAGAAAAATCTTCTGCACGATAACCGGAGCAATCTGGGATCAGAGTACTAACATATGGAGAAGAAATATTAATAAAGAACTGCTCACAGAAACTGGTCAATCAATACCCCATGATATGAAAGCACAGAGGTTAAGATGGGTAGGCCATGTAGCTTGTAGCAATCCATCTGGAAGCCTCTACGTAACAATGAATTCCTCAATAGAAGGATAAAGACCATGTGAAAGGCCAAAAAGCAGATGGATAAATAAAATCAACAAAGATGCAATAGAGCTGAGTGCAGATAAATGGAAAGAAATAGCCTAAGACAGGCAGAGATGGCGCAGGCATGTTAAGGCGGCAAAAGATCCACATGGTCTGTAATGCCAACAGGAAAAAAAAAAAAAAGAAGCTAGGTCGAAAAATATTAGACCTGTGTCCGAGGGTTCTTGCCAGTTAGCTCCAGGAACTGAGAAAAACTTTTATATAATTTTAACGTTTGTTTCTTGCACCCTTTAAAACTTTAAATAAGATTTTACATTGAAATAAAAAAAATTTAACTTTTGGACTTGATTTTATTGGATTTTTTTTTTTTTTCCTGCCGTTCACAAAAGCATTCATAACTTCTCAGGATTTTCTCTAAATACATTACTAGGAACACATAAATAACTAATAGGGAATATAAAAAAAATGACTGTTTTATCAAATTTAAGATTTCAAAGGACTGTAAATATTTTAATCCTATTTAATACTTATCAATACTTAATAACCCCTTTATAGCATCCTCTAAACTTGTTTAATCCCATTCAACTTCATCAAAAAAAGCCTCAGTTATTTGTTTCAAAGAAGAAATATGAGTGTCCTGTGAAATTCTCATAACTTTAAGGCATTACTGGGAAAAAAAATTTCACAGCTGCTGAAGCAACTCATGAAATTATTAAATATGAAGGGGAAGATGTCCTTGACCAGTGCACTGCGCGGCGTTAGTTTGAAAAATTTAGCAGTGGAGATATGACGGAAAGAAAGAAGGGCTCCGGGCGACCATTAATGGATACTAATGAGGTTCTGAGTCAAATCCGTCCATGAGTACTCGCGAAATTGCCAGAGAGTGTGTTATGTCGAAAGATTCTGTTAGTCACCATCCACTCTCCATCAGGAAGGTGAAAAAGAGCAGTAGACTGGTCCCTCACAAACTTACTTCTCAGCAATCAGCTAAGAGGTTAGAAATTTGTGAAAATTTATTGAATAACCCTTCTGATATGAGACTCCTACCTCATCCAGCATATAGTCCAGACCTTGCACCATCCGATTCCTACTTATTTAGATCCATGACCCATTTTTTTTAATAGAAACTTTTTTATAATTTTGTGGAAGTTGAAATTGTGGTCTAAGAGTTCTTTGACAGCCATCCCAAAGAATGGTATCAGCGAGGGATCGAGCAATTGGCAAGGAGATGGCTAATGACAGTAGATAGCAATGGACTGTACTTTAAGTATTAATTGTATTTTATATCAAAGAAATAAAAATACAAATATTTGGTTGAAAAACGATATGAACCATATCAGCAGGGCCTGTATCTGAACACCTTATTTTTCCAAGGAATACATCGTAAAAATCAATTTTAAGATCTTAAACCATCTGTTAAAAATATTGTATAGTACACAATAGTATTTGTGGTTTATAAACATGAAAAACATAAATAAACATGGTAAAGTTGAGTAGGAACATAAAACCATATGTTTACAAAAATTGAAATGTTAATAATTAATATTATTTAATAACAATAAGGGCAAGTTCCTAAACTCAGCGCTAATTCCATCAATAGATTCCATGAATCGATTGAATCCAGCAGAAGGTTAACATTCCTGGAATGTTACTAAACACATGAAAAATAAAAAATGTATAAGGAAATACCAAAGTAAATCAGCAACTAGCAACTATATACCAATCAAATACATATATGACACCTTATTTTACCGATACTAAAATTATACTTGATTTCATGAATGCACTTCTGATTTATCTCTAAAAGTAATGATTTTTACCATAAGTTTAATGGTTCAATATAAAAACAACTGTTTTTATCCCAATTAAAACTAGTCATATTTTCATTAAAAGTAATATTTAAAGAACTTACATTCTCCACTTTCAAAATCAGATATAGACTTCAGAATCATTTGGTAAATTGAATGACATAGATCCCACTTTTTTCCGACGATTTTGAACAAATTCCAAAGGTACAGCAATTCAATGGCAGGCAGGATGAGAAATTTTTGGGATTCATACCTCTCACACCGTCTTACACAAAATTTTTCCATAGGTAATGACTTACCAGCAAACCTCTGTCTCCATTGGGGTATTTTCCTATAATCATGGTTTGTTAATTACTCATTTAAAGAAATTCAATAACATAAGTAAAGAGAATTACAAAAACAACATTCACATGAAAGTATGTTTTGACCACACAGGGAGTCAAAGTTTGGATTCAGATTGACAAAATCCATAAAAAAAAAATAAAAAAAAAAATACATCCATATAAAAATAGTGTCATGGACCTCAAAAAGATTAACGCTTCTATGTAAGACCTTCAGAATTCGATAATCACAGCGCATTCTTAATAAACACGTTTGAATAGTGCAACGAATTGAGCAAACTGCTCTCATTTTGAGTAATGTGTTATCGGTCATTAGTACAGATATTTTGTATTGTTATGCAAAGATCCATAAAATTGTGGATAAGAAATCAACACTATGATTACTTTTCGTTTTTACCTCAAATAAGTATATTTTTTTCTAACAAAATTATATATTTATATATAAATTATGAGATAACTATATATTTATCATACTCTAGTGTCCTTTAAATTATCAGGGCAAAGCACTGCATCATACTAGGGAAAAAATACTGTATGAATTGTTTTATAAAACTTCTTCAAAACATGTATAAATTTCTCAGTCTTTTCAACAATATCATAACATCAAAGTGGGTTACATTGCACCAGTTTTTGGAATTTTCATGGTAATGCATTTTTCATCCATCTATAGGGGTTGGAAAAGTTCCAGGTTTAAACTTTGTTAATTTGATATTTGAAAATTTTATTTACTTATTATTTGATATATATATATATATATACAGGGTGACCCGTAAGTATAGGGAAATATTTAAATGGTTGATAGTAGACATCAAGATCTACAAAAAAGTTTATATAAACAATTACCCAATTTCCAGCAAAAAAGTAGAAAATTTAAGATTTGTGTTTTTTTAAGCGAGTCACGTTTTTAGTTGAATATGAAGCGATAACACAAAAAATATTTGATTTAAGTTACTAAACATTGTCCCGTAGTAAACTACACAAAATTTACTTAAAATGAAAGTAGAGTTTGTCATTGTTAAAACTATTTAAAAAGTCATAAATTGTTTGTAATTTTTTTTATCACCCTTTAACTGTACTACATTTACAAAAACTTCCTCGTTTAATAAGCTTGAAGTAAATAATAATTAAGTTGAGGTTTATTAGGAAAAATTTTGAGATTCACCTCAAGTTATGTTAAGAAATGATGTGATTTCCTATCCAGTCACCTTAAAATGCCCGTGTTTTCTGCAAAAATTACTACAATTAACTGTTGCAAAGCTTTTATTTCTTGTTTTTCCGTGATATGGGATATATTGCCATAAACATAATTGCCTATAAACACATTTTATTTATAAAAACAAGAAATTCAAAAATGATGATTTTACAAATATTTTTCATGTAAAGTGGTGATGAAATAGCGTTTTCTCCCAGATCTCTGTCATAGAAATTTATATGTATTTATCAGTGACAAAATTAATGTTTTTAACTAAAATTTACGTTTTAAATAAAGAAACCTACTGATCGCTTCAATTATTTTCATGAAAACCTAAATATTAGGGCTAGAAACATTAAGTTTGTCACTTATAAATACACATCAATTTCTATGACATAAATCTGGAAGAAAAACACAATTTCATAACCACTTTACATAAAAAATATTTGAAAAATCATTATTATTAATTTTTTTTTTATTTTTGTAAATAAATATTTTTTAGGCAATTATGTATCGTCGTAAACCTATGACTTCCTGTCCTACAGTATCCTTTAACAATACCCCACTTATCCCTGTTGACCAAATCCGATACCTAGGACTCCACCTTGACAAACAACTCACTTGGAACCCCCATACCAGACTGAAACGACTAGAAACCGCCCGACGTTTCCGACTACTCCAGCACTTACTAGACAAACGCTCTAAACTGCCAACTATTTACAAAAGACTCATATATATTACTATAATAAGGCCTATTTGGACTTACGGGATCGAGCTTTGGGGCTCTACTCTACTAAACATCAAATTCCTCTCGTATCCAATCCCTACAATCCAAAATCCTTCGTAAAATCCTTAATGCTCCCTACTTTGTCACAAATAAAATCATCCATAATGACCTTAATGTACCATATGTTTCCGATTTAGCTCAATCCAGATACCTGTCCTTTCATAATAAACTTCTGAACCATCCGAACCCTCTCGTTTCCAACCTTGCTTCTTCTTCTATTCCTGATAACCCTCCGAGGCGTCTAAAAAGAAGATGGCCTCGGGACCTTCTAATATAGAAATATAATTGGAGTGCTACCAATGGGTAGTTTCTCCTCATGTTGTACATGTCATATTACTTGTGCATATTTACTTGTTGTATTTATTATTAATTACAGTTGTAAATTTCGTTAATAAAAAAAAAAAAAAAAAAAAAAAAAAAAAAAAAAAAAAAAAAAAAAAAAAAGGCAATTATGTTTATTACAATACATTCCATATCACGGAAAAACAAGAAATAAAGCTTTTCAACTGTTAATCATAGTAATTTTTGCAGAAAACAAGTGTACTTTTAAGTGACTGGATAGAAAATCACATCACTTCTTTACACTCCAGTTGTGAATCTCAAAATTTTCACTAATAAACCTCAACTTAATTAATACAGACTTAAAGATTATTAAACGAAAGAAGTTTTTGTATAAGTGGGGTAACAGTACTACAGTTGAGTAATGATAAAAAAAATTACTAATAATTTATTATGTTTTTAAAAACAGAACATAGTTTAGATACTCAAAAGTCCACTGTAAATGGTTTTAACAATAATAACTCTATGTTCATTTCAGATGGCAAAAGGTTGTTGATTATGAGGGTGATTCCATCAATGATTAAAAATAAAAACTCATGTGAAATTTATGTTTTTAAATTTAATTTAAGAAAATGACGTTACTTTCTGGTCCCCCTATAATATATATATATATATATATATATATATATATATATATATATATATATATATATATATATATATACATAATATGCATCCGTAAACTCCCAATTCTCTTCTATTGTATAATACAGCACTGTGCTGGGTTACTCATCTATTACTACTATTACTGTTATTATTATTTCTCTATTTTAACCAATGTAATCTTTTTTTTATCTTTCATATTTTTGAACCTAACTCTATGTTGTTTGTATTTTTTTTCTCTTCTCTTACAGCCATTATTTACTTTTTTCCAAATTTATTTTCACAGCTTTCTCTTACTTTCAGCATCATCCATCATATATATACTTTTATCCTTTCCGTTATGTCTAGCGTCTTAACTACTTGCCATGTTAATTCACAATCCCTTTCTGCTCACTATGACGAATTTCTCCAATATTTCACCCGTAATTTCTACCACATTATTGCAGTTTCTGAAACATCGCTTAAGCCCTATATCCCTTCCACCTCCGTTTCCTTACCTGATTATACATTCATCCGTCATGACCGAGTTCACCGGACTGGTGGAGGTGTTGGTCTCTATGTTCACAATAGCTTGAAACCCCGTATTCTAGATGTTTCATCCCTTTCCAATCATCCTCACATTGAATTCCTCTTCGCTGAAATTTCTTGTAAAGCACATCCTCTCCATTATGTGGTCGTTTATCGCCCTCCTTTGACCCATCCTTCGAATCAACCTTGTACAATTATGTCCCTTTCTATAATAACATTATAATGTCTGGTGATCTTAATACCAACCTCCTCACAGAATCCAACAACAAACGCTACTTAGAAAACCTCTTCTTCTCCCTCAACCTTTGTATTGTTCCTTTCGCTCCTACACACCATACTTGTTGGTCTGGCACCTGGCTGGACTTGCATATCATCGATTCAGAGCAGAAACTCTTGTCTTGTTCTCAATTACCCGTTCCTTTCCTTTCTTCTCATGATCTCATCCAATTATCGTACGATATCCAAACTCCCACATTTCTTCCTAAAACCATAACTTTCCGCAATCTTGGCACCCTCACCCGTGATAAAATCTTGCCTGACCTTGAAGCCCTAAACTGGAACAATATTTATTCCTGCACCTCTATTGATCATATGGTAGACATCCTCACTTCTAATCTTATCCATATTCTTGACATACATGCTCCTATCAAAACCTCAACCTTCCATCGCCAACCTGCTCCTTGGATGTGTCAAGAAATCCGTGACATGCAAAAGAGACGTGAGGCAGCCCGCAGACACTTCAGACGAACTCGACTAGCAGATGACTATCAAGTCTATAGGGTACTCCGTAACTTGACACAAACAATGATCAGGAAAGCAAATCAAACATCTTTCATGAAACCTTTTCTTCTGCTCCTAATTCTAAATCAATATGGCTAACCCTTCGTAAACTCTCTCTTTGTAAATCCTCTTCCTCACCGATCTACCCGGTTTCACCTGATGAATTAAATTCCTACTTCATATTTTCCACCACCAGCAACAGCTCACCTACCTCTTATCAATTTTCCTTATCACCCTCATTTAACAATGATAATTTCTATTTCACCAACCGACCTTATTTTCTCTATAAGAAAGAATCTGGCAATGTCCTTCCCACCAACTTTCTCGGGTTCAAGGACAGTGACAAATCGGTCTAGATCCATGGATTATGGCTGCTCGGAGTCAGGAGGCGCACGAGGACCTATATTTCTTTCCCCGAAACAGACCTTCCATGGACCGAATCTCAGGGGGGCTATTGACATCCTGGTAAACCACAACCAGATTCCCGATTCAAGTACACGGGGTAGGGTCATCAGTCCTAAGCCCGGTCGGTGTGAGTTGCCTCCAGTAGGCTGACAGGCTTCACATACCCGTGGGGGGAGAGAGACTGGGGTTGCATGGCTTTCCCTGGTGGACAGTCACCCATCCAAGTACTAACCACGGTCGACATTGCTTAACTTTGATTACCTATTGCAAGCGCCTTAGCCCGTACGGCTACCCCAGTCCTCCCCCCATATATATATATATTTTGTAATGTAAATATTACATAGTGATTTTAAATAGTGGCGCGAAGGCAGTGACGTCACAAACTACTGTCAAAAATGGACGAAGACAGATGGAAGGGGAAGCATGTGCCATACGAAAAGGATAAGGTAACCAGCCAGCTAGTAAAGAAGATCCAGAGAAGAAAAAGTGATGAACAAGTAGTGAGTGTCAATAAGGAAGGATAGAAGATTGTAGAAGTTGAAGACAACAATATAGAGAAAGATTCACTGCAGAACAGGATGAGTGAAATATAAATAGTGACAGTTCGAAAGCGCACCAAGATTAGGCCCCGACAAATGAATGGAAATTCATAAATATGTTATAGAAAATTAATGTATGCCTTCTTTTTTCTGGGAAGTTGTATGATATTCTTTGTTATTTGGTAATGATTACTTCCAATTAACAAAAATTGAATTTATTTGTTGTATTATCAAATTGCATGTTTACAAGTTAACGTTTCGGGATATTTACTCCCATCTTTCAGAACCACAATCCCAATGATCTTGTGATTCTGAAGATAGGAGTAAATATCCCGAAATGTTAACTTGTTAACATGCAATTTGATAATACAACAAAAAATTCAATTGTTGTTAATTGGAAGTAATCATTGCCAAATAACAAAAAAATAATGTATGCCTTTGTATTATGTATTTGAGGAATGTGTGTTATTTGTCTCAACCCAACCTGAGAAATGATTATTGTTTAAAATAAATATACATTGATTCAGAAACCGGTTTGTTTACTTTTCGAAGGAAATATAACCTTACACTATATATATATTTATTTATTTTTTTATGTGGAGCATTGCGTTGTTTGGGAAAATTTGTACCACTTTCAAAAAATCATCAATAACGAATCCTGAGAATCAAAAACGTGCAACTTAAAGCTGTATCCTTCAAATATAAGAACTACTAAAAGCATAATATGTTTGAAATAAAAAGGTTTTGTTTACATATTCTTTAAGAAAGATATATTTTTTGCTATCCATGCTTAATACTTCTTTTACATTGAAATAAATCTAGAAAAAATAATTTTTTAATATTTTTGTCATTTAAAGGTATTAGGCCAAAGGTCACCAATAATATACGTTTTCATTTTATTTCTTTATTATCTAACGTTTCGGCCTCTCGGGCCATTTTGAAGATTCTGTCATGAACCGTTTCATAAAAATATTAAAAAATATATCATTATTATATAATGATAAATACAGCGACATAAACAAAACTGCAGGTATAAAACTACAAAATCAAAACTGACTACAGGACTATCGCAACATACCACAAATAATGGACACAATTTTAATTTCGGTAGAGCGTCAATTCTATTGGGTGAATCCATAAGTTCGTTTGGTTTTTGAAGGGTGAAATAAAATTTTTTTTTTTCATAAAAAGAATAAATTTTATTCAATAATATATTCACCGTTTTTATTAATGACCTCTTGCCATCTTTCTAACAATTTCACCTGGGGATTAGAAGTGAAGACCTTATCGAGATATGATAAGAACCTCATCAGCCAACAATTTCCAGGGAACAGAATAAGTGATAGTAAGATGGTGGAAGGCCCAGAGTATAATAAAGGGTATAATAAAACATCCCAGCCAAGATGTACTAACTTTTGCTGTCTGATTATTGCGGAGTGTGGTCTGGCATTGTCATAGTGGAATACAACACCTTTGCGATTGACTAATTCTGGGAGTTTCTGCTGCAATGTTTGGTCCAATTTATTCCAGTAGATCTTCGAATCAATCGTTTTTGCTTGTGGAAGCAACTCACAAAACAGTACGCCACGATAATCCCACCATATGGAGAGCAAAATCTTTTTTGGATGTAGACCAGCCTTCAGGGTGGCATTAAGCGGCTCATCAGCAGTTGTCCACGATCTCCTGCGCACAACATTATCGTAGATGATCCACTTTTCATTACCTGTCACTATTCATTTGAGAAATGGGCAAACCATTTTTGAGCAGAACGTTATGGTTAAGCATCATCCCTGTATATCTTACACATCTTTCGGTAGGCCTTCGAAGCTCGCTTACCTTTTTTGAAATAAAAAAATAAAACATGCCAAAAATGCACTTCATCATTTGACATATTCACTATGCTATAGTACAAACAAAACTAATACCAATGAAACCAAACACAACAGTTTTGAAGAGCAGACTTTAACTTTTCCGATAAGTATCATTATTGTTAGATAAGGCAAAGTGAACTGGAGATATTTGAAAACAATACACACTAATAACAAAAACTGAACAAACTTATGGATCCACCCAATACACAGAGAACAAAATATTAACAAACAGAATAGAACCAATATTCATTATTTGAAAAACCTAAAACAATCAGTAAACAAAAAAAAGATGTGTTATAGAGGAAAAACAGACTTAATATCTTCTACAAAGGAGAAATCAAAACGACATTCTATGAAATAAAGGATTGATCAACTGACGAATTATATAATAATGATATATTTTAAAAAAATTGTATGTAATGGTGCATGATAGAATCTAGAAAATGGATAAGAGGCCAAAACGTTGAATAATAAAGAAATGAAATGAAAACGTATGTTATTGGTGACCTTTGGCCTAATACATTAAAAAAAAAAAATTTTTTTATTCAATATAAATCCTGACCAAAATAAATCCAAATTATATATTTAAAAAATTCTGAAATTACTATTCCATAAATTGGAAGGTAGACGCACAAAACAGAGAAGACTAGTGACTCCGACTGAAGGAAGCTTTGACACTCCAATGAGTTTTTTATCTGACCTCTCACTTTTTTCCATCATTGAAATTCCCTTTGATCCTGATAATTTTTATTTTCTTGATATTCCCTTACTGACCTACCCTCTGCTATCCTTAAATCCAAAACCAACAACTATGGTCCTGACTAAATATCTTTTAAAATTATCAAACATTGCCTTCCAGCCTTAATTCCTGCACTTTTACACATAAAATTTTTTTCTCATAAATTCCATTTTTCCCAAAAACTGCAAAAGAGTCACTCTCCACCTGTGAACAAAGTTCCAATCTTCTGAGATGCCTGCGGTTACATATTCTAAAGCTACAAGAGGATATCATTTGTATCAACAGATCGGCAGAAATAAATTAATTGAGGTTCAATGCAGAAAAAAACAAGAACCACATTGGTTCTCATGTTTCCTGCTAGTATACAAAGTTTAAGTGGCTCTATCCTACTTTCCGACAGTAATTCCTCCTTGGTGTTTTCCTTTTCCAAGTCCTCAGAACCAAAAAACCTCCCTACATTCTAGATCTCATTACATCTCATTGCTATTCACTTTCTAAATACCTGATCTCAACCTATAGATCTAAATATCCTCTCCCATAAAACCATTTCCTTTTTTTTTTTTTGGAACTCCTCATCTATCTGTATACATCAATCTTCATTAAAAAATTCCTTTAAACAACTCCTATTACACCACTTAATTCATAAACAAACTATCCCAACTATGTAAGAATTGTTTGTTTACTAGTAGTTAATTAAAAAGTATATTGTATATTTCTTCATGCCAGGTTAATGTGCAAAATTTCAGAACTCTATTAATATTCTTAGGGGACTTTGGTCTCACAATAAAATTAATTGGTAATTTCATTTCATGATATCACAGGGATGTTGAAAATTAAAAAATAAATTTTATCTTGGAACAATATGAGTTAAATGAACGAATAATAATAATACATATACTTTATTTATTAAAATCAACTTATTAGTTTATAAACAAACATTAGATAATTCCTACTATATGACAATTAAAAAAAAATTAATACACAAGTTTAAGGATGAAAATGAATTTTAAAGATAATAAATCCAAAGTTTATATAAAAAAAGAAGAATAAAAAAGTTATTTACTTTTGAAAACGGGTGGCTAACCCGAAAAATTGAGCAAATAAAAGAGTTGAGAAGTAATGTAAAGTAATGTTCACTAATTCTTCCTACACTAAAGAAATTAAAAACTAAAATTGATACTTGCTTCTTCATCACAGATAAAATGTGAACTTACAGATCACAGTTCCGTTTATAATAGCAGAAGAAGCAACCAATCAATAAAAGTTTGAGATATATTCTTTAATAGAGAAAAAAAAATAGCAAACAACTTATGGTCATCAATCCAATGCACTCTGTACCCATCTATTGGCAAATATCCTTCTTCTCTTTCCCTACCAGACCTTTACCGCCTTATGCTACCATTTATGGGCCAAAAATACATGGAACATTTGATGCCATTGGAGCACTCTAATCCCTTAAGAAGCAAAGCAACCCACTTTAACAGTATCTCAGAAATCATAGATTTTTAATAATACTTATTTTCAACATGCTCTGAAAAAGTAGTATATTCCTGCAAAATTGGATATACATTTATAAACTTTAGCTTAATATTTAGCCACTATAGAGCAGAAATTTGGTTTTTACATTGTAAAATATTTCTTGTATTAAATATGATTTTTTTTGTATCTACTTCTTATTTTAAACAGAGAAAAAATCATGTATTATTTAAAAAGAAATTCAGCATGGTAAATAAAAAAAATCAATCAGTGGATTTCAATGAATTTTTTTTTAATTAGAAACTATAAAATCACTCCTGAAAAATTTTATTTTTGGGATATGATGTTGAAAGAATTGAGCAAATTTTACACTATATTAATCCTTCTTTACATCCTGATTCAATTTTTGTAAGGAAAATTACAATAACAAAAAAAAATATACTTACCTCAAAATCGATCATTACACAAGCAGAAATCTTAATATCACAATGCACATAAAATAAATTAATTTGATTCTTACTTACTTTATTAATGTATTGATTTCTTCTTTTTCATCAGATGATAAAGTAGACATCATTAGTAACATTGAAATTTTTTGATAACCATAAATTGTTCTTGACCATTTGCTACTTTTAAGCAGATTTGATGCATAAACTAAAGCTTCTTTCCAATCCAGAATGACACTAAACAAAAAATTACTTTTTATTTAAAAATAATTTTTAAAAACAAACTCAAAGAAATAACAGATGTAACCACTCAATTTAAACAGCTACAAAGTGAAGGGTTTGTTGTTTAAGTCCACTTCATAATTTACAAATTAGTTTGAATTTCTTTATTATTGACTATTATCTGTAATCTTTTAGCCCAGATGGCAAGTTCTGAGAGAAGATCTTTAATTTCTTTAAAAACAAAAGTTATCTCCAATGAATAAAAAACTCTACATGAAAATATTCTTATATTAATCATTTTACCAAACAAAGATCAGAATGACATTTTGTCAATAAAATATGTAATAATAATAATAATAATAATAAAAGGCTTAGTGAACCCAGAGGTTCGATGACGACACCACCAATCGCTAATTACATACCACCCTTCACTGTTTGCTGTCCAAACCCAGTCCCTTCAGATCTGCTTTAACGCAATCTTCCCACATTTGCTTTGTCTATCTCTCGGACGTTTACCATTCAGTACAGCAAATATCAACCTTTTAGGAATTCTTTTGTTACTAAGCCCAACAATTTTACAAGCCCATTTGATTTGCCGAGGATGTAATCACCTCAATTATATTAACTGGATACAGTTCACACAACTCGGCGTTATCCAACCTTCTGAACTCTCCGGTTAACTCAACTTTCTTCGGTCAGAATATTCTACGCAATACTTTATTTTCAAAAACCTTAAAACGTGGCCCATCCCTTAATGTAAGCGGCCACGTTTCACATCCATAAAGAACCGTAGGTAGGATAATGGTTTTATAGATTCTAGTCTTTAAATTCCAGGACAAGATGCGAGAGCTAAGTAATTTTGTCACAGAAAAATAACAAGCATTTCCCACCTTCAGACTAACCTTAATCTCCTCTTCAATTTCGTTTTTTCTAGTTATCATAGACCCTAGATATTTAAACTTCTCTACCTGTTCAAACATAATACCTTCTATATCGATATCCCCAGCAATATTGCCAATTTTGCAGCTAACCATATATTTTGTGTTATCTGTCTTTATTTCGAGCCCTAGTTCTTTACCGGCTTTCATTAATGTTGTCGTATTTAGTTTTATAGTTTCCATGTCTTCGCTTAACAGGACCAGATCATCCGCATAGCCAAGCACAGATGTTGTCCCACACAGATCCGACCCTTTTTTGGTACGGCATTACCTCCCTAGTGGCATGTTCTAATGCCAAACAGAACAGGTCAGGCAAAATGGAATCACCCTGTTTTAAACCTAAACGAACCTCAAACTTTTTGGACAAAATATTACCGATTTTAACTTTATTGAGTGTTTCCGTCAAGCACGTCCCGACTAGATTTACTCATTTTTTTGGAATCTCCTGCTTAATTAGAATATTATACAGTTTCTAGCGGTCAATAGAATCTTAAGCCTTTTTGAAATCGATATACAGCTTGTGAAAAACACCGTTGTACTCCAATTTTTTCTCAAATATTTGCCGTAAAGAAAATATTTGATCAATATTCGAAAGATTTTGTCTAAATCTGTAGTGGTAGTCACCGATAATTTCCTTGGCGTATTCTGTGATTCGACTTGTTAAGATTAAAGTGAATATTTTATAACATACCAGAAGGAGTGAAATTCCTCAATAGTTATTACAATCCGTCCTCGGGCCCTTTTTGTGAATCAAATTTCTCATTCATCAAGATCTTTTTAACCAACAGATGTATTTTAGAAACTCCAGCTTCCCTGCATGACTTAATTAGTTCACAAGAAATATTATCGGTTCCCGCTGCTTTATAAGATTTTAATTTTCCAATAGCTACTTCAACTTCCTCTTTACTCGGTTCTTCTATTAACGGTTCTGCACTATGGTACTCAGAAGGAGGACACAGATCATAATTTCCCAAATTTAAAATACTGTCAAAGTGGCTCTTAAACTTATTTAATGTGTATACCGGATCAGTCAGAATCCGTTATTATTTTCATCCCTAATTCCAGACGTGATGGGCCCTAAACATTTACGTGATCTGTTTATACTTTTGAACATGTCCCTTACGTTATTTTCAATTCTATTAGTTTCTGTTTCAATTATTTTATTTTTAAGATACTCCCTTTTTTCATTTTTGAGAAAAAGTTGGTCGTTTCATTATGAGGGACGTACAATTCTTTAGTGATAGAATTTCGGTAGCGATATTTCAGGGCCATTGGTTTAAAATCGCGTTTATAAACATACATTGTACGACCGAAGACAGTGAAGATGAAGTCAAATGCGAATTTTACGATAAACTTGAATGGCTTTATGATAAACTCCATGAAAATAACTGAAGGTGAGGCATATGCAAAGGTGGGGAGGGAAGAAGTTTATTTTACTGCACGAATATAGTAATGATAATGGGATCCGTCTGATAAACTTTGCCATCTCGAAAAATCTGATAATTAAAAGTACTATGTTTAAACATAAAGATCGAAATCAAATCGATCATGTCTTGATACGACATAGCTGGCAAAGCAGTGTAATTAATGTACGGTCTTATCACGGAGCAGATTGTGGGTCGGATCATGAATTAATAATTGCAAAACTTCGACAAAAACTTAATATAAAAAAGAGAAAAGAAAATCGTTTTGATTTCAGGAATTGTAACTCATGTCTAGGAAAAAATGAAATAAGAATAACAAACCATGGTTTGATGAAGATTGCTTTAACATGTGCAAAAAAAGAAAAGCTGCGAAATTAAAAGCTCTAAATAATCCTAGCGAAGGCAATCTGGAATACTTTCGAACCTCAAAATATTTTATATAAAGTGTAATAAAGGAATAAGCTATTAAAGGAAATTTTAATTACCAATGAGTCCACATTAATTCCCAGAAACACAGATGATGAAATTGAGGCCAAACTTCCTGTGATTTCCATGACTTTATATAAAATTTATTTGCTTCAGAAATGTTACATTTCATGAATTCTAAACGCCCTTTAAAATACAGAAACCATAACCCATCAGGATATAACTGTAAAATACAATTAAAAAAATATAAATGTTTTATATTGTCTCTATGGGTAATTCAATAAATAAGATTTTAATATGATAATTTAACGAAGCTTACCTGCAGTTGATCTTCTAATATTCTATTGCTTAGTTCTAAGTCTCCTTCTTCATGACTTAAAACATAAATAGTTATTAAATTGTAACTTAAAATGGTCATAACTGAAAGTACTTGTCTAATACCATCTTTTAATTCATAACATTTTCCTAACTCTTCTAATCCTAATTCCTGAAAACCAGAATAATATAACATGTTATGATTAAAAAAATATATAACTTATCATTAAAATATAATTATATAATATAAATATAATTAATATAATCAGTACCCAGTTTTATATAAACTACTACTACATAGAAGTTCAATATCTTAAAATGGCCACTGATGATCACTCCAGATGAAACAATGTAGTGGACCGACTGTAGTGCTTGGAGTTAAAACTACTTCAGTTTGTCAGGGTTCCCTCTGACAATCACTCCAGCCCATTGTTTCATTTTTTTCAGGTAGATAGTGATTCATGCTTTCAAAGGTAATTTTTAAAACTACTCTAACTCGTAAATAATATAATTCTAGGTATTAATCAGAAACGTTATTCAAATTTATATTAATCAGAAGGTATTCAAGTACTCAATACCAGTACTTGAATACCTTCAGAGCTCCTTGATGATGACCCACATGTTTGGTACATGATATGTAGAACAATTGACTAACTTCCTTCAATAATTCTATGAATATTATATTAACAGTTATAAGGTTGGAATTAGCAACTTTCCTACCCGTACCAATACCTATAATACCTAATTAATAATTCTGGTTACAACTCATTTAAATAAAATGAAAAAGTTGGTAAATACATATTTTATATTTACAATCTACTAATACAAACAAAAAGATATGTGTAAAATTTTTTTAGGGTATTAGAAATTATAACTCCACTAAAAATTTGTATTTTATTTGAATTAATTTGTTCAATTCTTTAACTCAACAAATAAATAAAAATAGTGAAAAGTCATATGAAACTGAATTTATGTATTTCAGATAGCTACCTATACCTGGGATGTTACAGCAACTTTTTCATGAAAACCAACAAACCGAAAATGGTAGTTTATAGCAATGATTTTCAACATTTTTCTCAAAAACAGCTTCAACCATTTTGATTAAATTCATTATCAGTGTTAATGAGTCTTTAATATTAGGCATTTTTTATACTCATTGAAATAGTTTGACAAGGCATAAAGGCAGAATTTTTAAAATATATTCCTCTAAAGTATCTTTAATTCTGTTTATATGAAATAATTAACCATTTCACATTGTAACCAGTAATAAAAAGTAGTAAAATATAAGCTATCAAAGAATTTGATTATTAACTAAAGGGGAAATTAGGGATGGTAATGTGGGACTTGGAATTACTAAAGAAATCCAAGCTAGCGAAAGAAAGGCTTCCAAACGTAGCATTTGCGTAAGATATCATAGATGATGAGGAACATATAGGCTCCAATAATACTTTAACATGTATATGTGCATTTTTTGCTTTAAGTGTTAACTCCTAACAAAAGAAGTATCTAAATCCTTTATTGTCCAAACTGGTTTGCGGCAGGGAGATTGAGTCTCACTAATGTTGTTTAACTTAGAGTTGGAAAAGGAAGGTGATATATATATACTCAAAATCAGGGGTGTTCTTCCCCCAAGGTCGATGACCAATGCACTCACACTTCTCCTCTTCTTAAAACCAGTGTAAGCGAAAGTAGAATAAGAAAAAATGTAGATCTTAAAACAATTACACTTGTCGTGGTCTATTCTATGTTTTTCTCCTACTTCTCTGATTTGAAAGATCTTCCAAGTTGAACCCCCCCCCCCCCCAAAAGAATGTTTCCCTCCAAAAATTCATAACTTGTCAAAATATGACCCCTCAACAATTTAAAACCCTATAAAAACGTGATCCCTTTAAAACTTTTGATGGAGCAAATTGTGTCATGTAACCCTCCTTCTGGGCACCCCAGTAAAACATCATGGGAAAATGGAGAGATTTATTTCGGAATGAATCATAAAATCCTTAGATATGTAGATGACATAGAGACGACTATTTATAATTCAAATTTTTCAATAATTCAAACTTTTTAGCTATAACTGCAGTAAATAAAAAAAAATGCTGTATTTTGATACACTTGATAACTAAAACAAGAGGGGAAGAGAACCTTCTATAACTCGTACTAGACCACTACTCTTTATAATTTGAAATTTTCCAAGTAACATTTTTTACTTGAGGCTAGGTATATATAAAATTTATTATAGTTATAAATATTCCCAAAAGTATAATAAAAACTGTTAATAATTTGAATTTTTTTTCTTTACTCCTGATAATTTAAACGTCTTAATAATTCAAAGTCTTGATAATTCAAATTTTTCTTGTAGTCCCTCGGATTTCGAATTATTGAGTTGACTGTAGCTGTCCTAAGAAGCAAGCAAGAGGACATTAAGATACTCACTAAGACTGTAATGAAAGAATCAAAGCAAGTCAGCCTACAAGTAAAACAAAATATATTATAATAATACAAAAATTCCACCCCAATAATCAACATTTAGATTGGACAGTGCATTCGGGTTCATTTACTTTCCCCTGTATTCATTTCAGCAAAGCAAGGCAAATTTTCATCTTTAGAATTGATGAACTCCAAAAACGCATTTTTTTAATTCCCTTTGGCCATTATATTTTTTGTCACATAAGTAGTGGTCCAGGTGTCTAAAAAAATGATAATCTGTAGGCGAGAGGTCCGCAGAGTAGGGTAGAAGTGACGTCACACGTGAGACATGTGGCCAGGTGTTGTCATGCAACAAAATGGGCCCCTTTCAATTCACCAAAGATGGCTTCATTATTGCCAATTTCTGATGCATTGCATTAATTTGGTTACAATACAATTTAGTATTGATGGTTTCTCCAGGATTTAAGAAGCTGTAGTGTATCAAACCAAATGGAGACCACCAGTTTTTTTTTTTTTTGTATAGTGTTGGTTCAAGGCACGTCGTCCCCTATTGGGTCCATTGTGCGCCAATTTCAGTTATTCCTATAATCAAAACGTTATTTTAGTCGCTTCCACGTATCTTAGTAGGCTGGTTGGATTGACCATCTCATATCTACTGGGGAGATCCATTTGTTCCTCACCAAATAGTTCCAGTCTCAGCCTTGTGAATCTATCACATCTACACACAATGTGAATGGCTGTTTCATTCTCCTCCTGACAGAATCTGCATAGCGGATTCGTCGTTACTCGGAGATTGAACATAGTAAGTGACCTGTATAGATTGCTGTAAGCTTTTTAAGAGCTGCTCTGTCCATACTCAGTACCAGTTTGCTTCTTTTTTCACATGGACCTTTAAGGAACAGCTTTGAATGCCGCTATTTCTTCTCAGTCCAGTAATTATTAAATTTGTTGGCAGTGCTAAGGCTGATTCCACAAACAAGCTCGGGAGTTACGGGAATGGTATCTGAGCCCAATCTGGTTAGTTCATCAGCTTCTTCATTGCCTAGAACGCCCGAGTGACCGGGCACCCACTCCACTGTAAACCAAACAGTAACCATCACCTTTTTGTGATGAGTTAGGGGCTTTAGAAATGTTCTGCTGATTCTCCTTGTCAAGCCAATGTTCAGAACATCTACTGTTATCGTAAAGTAGCCACTTTTCATCACAAGTAACAATTCTGGACGAAAAAGGGTAATTTTTATTTCAGCAAAGAAGCGTAGCACAAACTTCATAACGCTGATTTTTTTGGTAGTCGTTTAATGTATGTGAAACTTAACTTTCAAGCTTTTCTATCTTTCCAATCGCCTAGAGGTGGTCATCGACGGTCGATTTGCTAAGGTTAAGTTTCCCTGCAAGTTTTCGAAAAAGGAACTCTCCTGCAGTTATTCTGAGGTTTTCTTCCACCAAAGCCTGCAGAACATCATCATCAAGAAAGGAAGTCGTTCCACAACCTTCTTTGTTTTCAAGGCTGAAGTCTCCCTAAGTTTTTGAACCACCATTGAACAGTGCAATCATTAATGCTGCTCTTGCCTTAGACTTGATTGATGTTTCTGGCTGTCTGGGTCCCATCAGCCGAGTTTAAACTCATAAAACAAAATTATACAAAAATCACGCGTTGACATCTTACTAAAGACTGAATTATTTCTAAGCAGCGAAATGCTACAGAGGTAAACAAACATCGTTTGGAAGAGAATTAATAAGTGTTGACATTCATTCAAATGAATAATCCAGTAAACATAAACAGTTTGTTTTATAGAGAGGTATTTTAAAGAAAACTCAAAATCTTGCATTTTTTCCTGGATAACCAAATATTTTCTTTTTTAGTTTACATCTGTCTCAATCAAGGACTTAATAATTTTCCTTTGCTTTGATTCTACACTATAAACCACAAAGAAGTAGAAGAAACATTTGCTATTCACTTGAACTTATTGTGAATAATGACAAGCTGAAGCAACAATAAAGTAAAACAAAATAAAAGATTTCACAAAATTTTGAAGGCACCTTTTATCAAAAGATATAGAGACTTGTGTAATCTCACAGTGTTTATTCCAGATCATTCAACCAATCGGGATTATACTAGTTGTTTTTTTAATGTTTATATACTTCTTTATTTTGAAAGGTAGCTGGTAAGTAAATATATGTTCTAAAAATACAATTTATATATATGTTAAGTAAAGAAATTTTTAGCCATCAATAGAATGTAATACTAAACAATAACCAATCATTAATTTGCTTAATGATTGAAATTATGTAAGTAAAGGAGTCATGAGGATAGAAGAGAAGTGTATAAAGCAGTGGTAACATGCAAACAGAGTATTTCAGGTCCCAAGCTTTTATTTTTGTCAAGGGAACTATAGTAATACTGATCATGAACACTGTAATTCAACAACTCAACCAAGAAACTACTTATGGGCATAGTTGAGTATTGTACAGTAAGTTATAAGTCACAGTAAGTTTTTTTATTTATTTATTTAGACATATAACATTCTGTCACAGGGACAATAATTATATTGATCAATGAACACATTCACACCATATGTGTAAGTAAGTAAGGTAGTGACTAATATAATCACCTTATTTCCAGAAAATCCAATAAATTCCAATAGCTTTATAACTCGAGATGGAAGAAACGATATCATCTAAAAAAGAAAAAAAAACTATAATAAAAATGCATATATATATATATATATATATATTATGAATAGAGACCGGATTTTTACGTTATTGCACATTTTATTCACTTGTGTGTCAAAACTCCGGACACGAATATCTATCTGTTTCAGGATATGTAGAATATCATATTTAAATTTCATAATGCACGTTTTGCCGTTTTTGGCTTAAATTGCACAATTTTGATTTTTGTTGCATTAAATTGCACATTTGTGATAAATTAGATGATTTATAAATACAAATTTATATGTGTATGTTAATATTTAGTTTTTTATTTTACTATATTGTTAAAATTAAATTCATTATTCAAGATAGAAAAATATGAGGAAGATAAATTATATTGTGACAAGCATAAGTTAAATTGAAAATTACAAAAGGAAGAAGTAAACACAAGAAAGAAATATCCTTGGAATAAAACTGGCCTAAAGTATTAGATAATAAAAAGCTGCTTTCCTAAAATAAGCTGTTTTTTAGTAAGTTGATTATTGTTATTGTTTTGACTTGAATTCTGACTCATTCGCTCAGCTCTTAAGTATCCCTTCTGGCTTTGAATTGATATGTATGATATATATTGAGTTTCTGTTTCTTTAAGATTTAGGTTAATCATAATTTATTACTGTATTATATTATATTTCGTTTTTGTTTGGTAATAATAATATGGAATTTCATTTTCAATGTTACATTTACATTACACATTCAATCCTTCCAATCTAAAGTCTTCCAGAAAATAGTTGATGCTCCCTTCAACCAATAAACTAAACTAATACAACCAATAAAACCCTGCACAAATGACCTTAATATTCCATTTATTCTTGATATTATCCCAGAAAAATTTTCCAAATTTCACCAGAACTTTACTCATCACCCAAATCTTGTAACACAATCACTATCTAGCACCACTCATCCCTACAATCCTCCTCATAGGTTAAAATGGCGGTGTCCTCAAGAATTTTTTTAAATATGCATATATTGGAGTTCTGCCATTATCCAGATTCTCTACTCAAGTCATGAGTGTAGTTGTAACGCCCTTACTCACCCTCCACTGGTTTTTAATACCAGTGAAGTGGTTGAGGGAGAAGTGCAGAGATCTCATAAGCCTTGCTTTTCTCTCCGCAAGTGGCGGGACAAGATTGGTTTGGAGTTCTGGCTGATTGTAAGTATTGTTAATAGGTATTTTTGCATCTAAGATGTTTATTTTACTTTAAGTACATTTTATTTTTATTTATTTATGTGTATATATATATATAAATATATATATATATATATATATATTATGAATATTATATTAACAGTTATAAGGTTGGAATTAGCAACTTTCCTACCCGTACCAATACCTATAATACCTAATTAATAATTCTGGTTACAACTCATTTAAATAAAATGAAAAAGTTGGTAAATACATATTTTATATTTACAATCTACTAATACAAACAAAAAGATATGTGTAAAATTTTTTTAGGGTATTAGAAATTATAACTCCACTAAAAATTTGTATTTTATTTGAATTAATTTGTTCAATTCTTTAACTCAACAAATAAATAAAAATAGTGAAAAGTCATATGAAACTGAATTTATGTATTTCAGATAGCTACCTATACCTGGGATGTTACAGCAACTTTTTCATGAAAACCAACAAACCGAAAATGGTAGTTTATAGCAATGATTTTCAACATTTTTCTCAAAAACAGCTTCAACCATTTTGATTAAATTCATTATCAGTGTTAATGAGTCTTTAATATTAGGCATTTTTTATACTCATTGAAATAGTTTGACAAGGCATAAATATATATATATATATATATATATATATATAATATATATATATAGAGAGAGAGAGAGAGAGAGAGAGAGAGAGAGATATTCTTTTCTCTCTCCTTATAATATTTTATTTTGTTCTTATTTCTATGCATTATTTTGTTATCACTTTATTTATTTATATTTCTGTAAATACGGTGTGAATGCACACTCTGAACCCTATTATAAGTGTCCTTAACTGAGACATATTGTAATATTTCTCAATAAATAAGTTTAAAAAATAAACATTTTATTTTTTTAATCTCTAGTTTAACTCAAGACCTGGCAAGATTTCAATGCATTAATAGTAAATATTTAACAATTTTAATGCTTTTGTACATTTGCAGGCGTTAATTATACATTTTTATGTATTTTGGGTTTTTACTGAACGATTTTGCACATTTAGAGGTTTTTGCTGCACATTTTTTTGGATTTTATTGCATAAAAATCCGATCTCTAATTATAACCTAATACTAAATAAAGAAAATAATAATTAATTATAAAAGGAAATTAATTATAAAAAGGATGACTAAATAATTTAAGATATATATGAGAAGGATAACTGAAGAACAATTAATAAATCACACCAATCAAAAGATAGCATAAATAAATAAAATGTATAAGTGAATTTTTATACATACCATTTGCAGTCAACCAAAAGTTGACAATAAATGCATTTTCAGTAGAAATATTTGCTTGGTACTAAAACTTTTCAAATGTGTATTATAATATATAGCCATCCACTTGACTTACACTTTGCCATGATGAAAATATGACTTATCAACTTATGAAAAAATAATTATATGAATAAAACATAAATAACATCCTGATAAAGGTACTGAATTGGTTCAGTAAAATCAGAAATTAACAAAAAGTAGAACTTTTATATACTTAGTAATAGTACTATTACTAATTATAGCAATAGAACTTTTTATATGCTTACTTCATTTTAATTCAGTAAAAGCTAAGTTAGAATTTAGACAGTAATAATTAGTAAGGAATATGAATGCCAAATAAGCTAGTTTATTAGTATGGATTCTAAAGTTACGATGTTTTGATTTTTAAAAACGGCTATGTTAAGGTGTACGATGGGCGTTACAAGGCAACTACAAAAAAAAAGTATAAATTTTTGTTTTTTCAAGAAGGAAACAATTTTCTCAATAATTACTCAAATGAGCTGATTGAGTATGTAGAGATGAGCTTGTATAATCCACAATATTATATTTTGTTTTTTAAATAAACAAGGATTGCTAAAATTTGTCAAAAGAATTGTAGACTATTTCTATAGATCAACAATAAAACTTCACGTATAACATTATTTTGTCATTTTATTGTCAAATTCATCCAAAAATCTTCCATCAGATATTTTGGAAATGTACTTCTCTCTTTTCTCTCCCTTTTATGAGGAGGACAGGAGTCAATGAAGCAATAACAAATTGGGATGAGTATTAGTCAGTAATAATACCATTTAGTATTGTAGTTATGGTCCAACAACGTATAATGTCAAAGTCAGCTTATATTTTTAAGATAATGCATGGTCACAAGTCACCGATATTGGTAGGGGAAACTAAACTGATGACCAAAAGAGCTGGCGCACTTTGAATTTTACATAAAAACAAAAGAATTTTTGAGCATGAAGTAATAAAAGATATATGAGAGGTCAAAGAGATTACCATGCATGAATCCTTTTGAGAAATCTCATGATTCTCTCTAGGATTAACGATAAAAGTATTAAAATGGAACTTGGACCTCATATTAGTTGCCTGTTCAATTGCATTGGATTTGATTTAGAGCTTTTTCTCTTTAAAAAAAAAATATTTCATTTGTTTAAAATATTTTTAAAAGTGTCAAGTGGTTTTGGATCCAATGGCAGTTGCTCAGATTACTGTGTTAATTGAAAATGACTGTTCAGGGATACACGGCCTGAGTCCATGGGCTGCCTGAAACAACGATTTGGAGGTAGTTCAGAGGTACCAGAAAACTGGAAGCTATGCTAGGTGGCTGTGATCAAGCCATCCAAGAGTCACAGATCCAGCTGATAACCGCTTCATTGCTATGCAGACTCTCAGAAACCACACTTCAGTTGAGACTTCTCATCGATTGTGTATTGCTCAGGGTACGGATGTCAGCGCGTACACAGTAAGGAGAAGGCTTGCTGAACTCATCTGCATGCTAGGGTTCCCGCATCTGGCTCTCTACTCACTGTAGCAAACCAAGAAGCTCACCTTCACTTTTGTTGTGAACATGCTACAGACGGAGGAGTTCTAGTGTGGAAAAGACCAAGTATGCAATTAGCTCAGTGCAATATAGTGGGAAAAGTGCAGTTCGGAGGAGAGTTGGTGATGGTTTGGGATGGAATTTGTTTGGAGTCAAGTACAGACCTCCATGTGTTCTAAAGGCTGATGCTCAATGTACACACCTACATCACCAACATCCTTGAGGAATATGTGGTACCTTTTGCTCGTTTATGCAGGCCCTTAGTTTATTTTTTATGCAGGATAATGATCGGCCGCATATTGAAAATGTTGAACAGGACTACCTAGACGGGGTTAGTGTCCGCACCTTGGAGTGGCAGTCTGGACTTCAATCCTATTAAGCATCTTTGGGACCAGCTTAGGACGTCCTTCTGCCGACAACAGAACCCTCCTTGTAACCTCTGAGTATGCGAAATGGATCAGATTCAAGATCAGGTAAACGCCTTACCCATAGAATGACTACGAGAGTACAGGCCATTATTGAAGAAAAAGGAATCAACACTGGGTATTACAGACTCAGATTTCATAATTAAAAAATAATTTTATGCATATTATTTTTGTTTAAAAGAGTGTTACTTTGCTTTATTTTACATTTCGATTTTTTAAAATGAATTTTCATTGTTTCCCCCCTCCTTTATTTATAGTGTTCTAAAAGCATAATATGTTGCACTAAATTGAGGTAAAAAAAATTGCAACTTTTTTTTTCTGTTGGAAAAGAAATAAAGACAAAATTTAAGATGCACCTTTTTTTATGTCCACTAGTGTAGTTCAGTATGACCTTATGGTCCTTTTTGTCAATTCTTGATCGATACCAAGAGGTTGCTGCTCTATACAAACGAGAATGGGATAGTCAAGATTCATTTCTCGGAGGCACTGAGAAATAAATATTAACTAACCCAGGTCGGGATTGAATGCATACTGTGTCCGAAAGAGACATTCTAGAACTCTTGTTTCAATATCTGGAAAAGTAACATCTAAAGATCCTTAATTTTGGAAATAGTTTGTTTTTTTAATTTATTTATTTTTATTTTTTTGGAACTTCTTTCTAATTAGTGATTTTGGTAGTGTCACCCTTTGATGTTTGGCAGGTTAGCCCTGTTTATGTCCTAATAATGACTCTTAACAGAAAACAGAGCATGTCATGTTCATTTTGTGTTGGATTTCTTTATTTTTGAAAATATGAAGATGCATCTCATTTACAGTGTTTTTTTTTATCAGAATGATAAATAACCATTACAATTAAATTAATTTATTTTTAATTACATAAAAATCACATCCTTAGTTATAACTCTACTTTGCTTCCCCTCTGTGATTAAGGATCAAGCACAGCAACTGATTGGTGAAACAATCCAATCCAATTCTAAAAGAAATATAAATACTGTCTAATAATTCACCCTTCCTTTCTGTTCTAGCTCATGAGCCCTCAGCTGTCAGGGAATATAGAATATATTAATATAGAAGCTACCAATTATCGGTCTATGATCCTTAGGTTTAAGGAATCTGAGGAATCCAGTCAATTGAATCTAAATATCAGTCTTGATGATTCTTCAATCCTTTTATTGACTTCCCAATGTCTATACAAATTGATATATATTTTAACAAGTCTATTTATTATATTCAAGGATTTCGTTTCAACCTCAATGGCAATATTGTTAGATTTAGAAGAAAAAAAGTTCTTGTAGCACTAGTATAAAACCAATAAACATATCACCCTACATTATATATTTATAAAATATATAGATTAATCTGAAATAGAATCAGACTAGATAATCTCAATATTATTGTTTCCTTAATATAAAGATTCTGACAGCAATTAGTATAAAACCGACAGTTTTAAAGTAATTTGAGAAGTTGTTTTGGTGTAAGTTAATTTTTTAGTTTAGATTAGAACAGTAAATTGGTCCATTGACAACTAAAGGGACTTTAATAAATAATTTACAAGAAAAAAAATCTTGATTTTATCATGAATCAAATTAATTAACAATATAAAAAGCAAAGAGTTATTTTAAATTTAAAAAATTGTTTTCAACTGTTTTTTCATACTATAAATGTCAAATATTGTCATGGTAAATAAAATAAATTTACATATTTTGTTTCAATTCATGCTTCACCTGTATATTTTCCATTTTATTCCTTTTATAAGCAATCATATATTTTTGTCAAAGCCTGGGCTGGATAATTAAAATTAATATATAGTCCAGATTTTTGTTCAATTAATATGTAGTATATATATATAAACAAGTAGTATATATATATATATATATATATATATATAATATATATATATATATATATACTATGTACTTCTTATATATATATATATATATATATATATATATATATATAAGTATACTAAAATAATTATTTAAATTGGAAATTAAGGAAATTAATTATTATTCAATAAACTACAAAATGACCATTGATCCTGTTGTTTACAAAAAAAAAAATTAAATATATATATACATAATCTAATTATCACTAGCATACATTCGTAGATTTAATAATAAATTATAATTGAAAATGTTTAGTTCATATAAATGTTTAGTATACTAGCAAATTATTTATTATTTTATTTTTATCTTGTGATTATAATTATTCTGGGCTATTTTCTAACTGTCCCTTTGAGAAGGGAGTCATATTTAAAACTTCTTAACCAAGCTTCATGTAACATATTTCTTATAACCTTATTCACAACAAATTATTGAAATAATAAGATAAAGATAGACATATTGATTAATGTAGAAATAAATATTTGACCATTACTATCAGTAGCATATAAATCTTCTTATTAGATATCCAAATCATATGGTACAGTGGATACAAAATGTTCTTGAAAGAAATTATGAAAAACTGTTCTTAATTAAATAAAATTTTGTAGCATAGGTGATAAATAGTCAGGATGCAGTCATTTTTAAGGTTATTTGGCACTAATAAAACATGTGGGTCATCATCAGGACATGTTTCGAGCACTTAAGGTATTCAAGTACTCAAGTCTTGAAGTCTTAGTACTTGAATACCTTCAGCGCTCAAAAAATTCCCTGATGATGAACGATATGGTTGGGTTGAAACATTGGCACTAATAAAAAAACCTTAAAAATGACTCCTTCCTGACTATTTATCACCTATGAAATGTAGAATAGTCGACTAACTTCCTTCAATAAAATGTTGTAGGTTTTTGTGAAATAGAAAAAGCAGATTAATTTGTTGCACATCAATAAAAGCTTATTTTTAAGAGATTAGGTACATGGGTTAAAACAACATCTTATATACATTATCAATAACAGACATTTAAGGATGAGCTAAAATTTTTACCAGATTAAAGGCACCAATTCCAACATGCACACCACTTTCAAAATGCACTTTATGTGCTTCATTTGTCCACTTCCTTGTTGTTAAAATGTTGTTACATTCTCTACAAAGAAAGTTACAACTAGTTAAGATCCAGGCTTTAATTAATTATAATATAAATGCATTAAATAACAGATTCCTTTAGTCTTCATATCTAATAATGATTAAAAAACACAACAACAATAACCAGAATTGATATATCAGTAAAATAATATACAACTAAAAACACATGCAACATTCATGCTATTTCAATTGTGTGTATCATATATATATATACATATACATGAGAAACAGATATATACATTGTGATGGAAATAAAAATGTTATTTTGTTAAAGGATTACTATTATACATCCACATTATGAATGGATTGTCATCAACAGAAAGCATACCAATAGTTCTTATAACAATAAAACGCTTTTGTATATTAAAGCAAAATATACTACATGGAAATCCACATAATTTTGTATTAGCTGTCATTTAAGCATACAGAAAAGAAATTATAAACAAGTTTACATGATTAAATAAAACAAACTGTTAATGGCTCCTCAAAATACTTTCTGCATCTACCGAATAAGATTAGAAAGGTTTTTTTTTCTCTCAGGTTAAAGAATCACATAAAAAAGCAATATTAATATAGCAACATAACATTTAATAGTTTTAACTGTTACAGTATTGAGGGACAGCAACCTGAAATTTAACATCCTAGGAAGTAATATGTAGCTGCAAGAAAAACAGGAGGAAATTCCTATCCCCATACTAATAGAAATTATAAAATTATAATGTAGTGATTACAACATCAGAATTAAAATTTCCCATCATTATAAATATTTACCCCAATTTTTACTTGAAAATATAACCTACACAACGTTTAAATATATACATATATATATATATATACCTATTGAGAAACCTACCCTATCACCTATTGAGAAAATCAGCCAATAGGAACATGGTGAAACAGCAATATCTGAATCTCACTATCTATGTTCCAGTTAATAATAATGAATATTCTAGCAGCTCTTCTTCCTGAATAAGGGATGGAAGATTTTAAGAAACATATTTTCATATAAAACTAACTGTTTCTTCACCAAAATTCATTGAAAGTTATTTACAATAAAAAATGTAACTTGTAGCTATGTTGTGAAGAGGATGATAACCAGAAAATATTGTAATTCATTCATAATTAAAATGTAATTATTTTATTAGTAAACAATGTCTTCCATATACAAAAATATTATTTTAACCTGTACTATATGATTCTATCAAATTTCTTTAATAAGAAACTAGGACTTCATTGTGAGCACAATGTATGCATGCCTGTGTATTATTATTTATAAGCCAATAATGTATAATAATTCACGAGAACTACAAGTGATTAGGTAAAATTATTAAAGAGGGCTCTTGTGCAGCTGTTGATCCTCAACATATCACAACTATCAGACAAGTACATAACTGCTGCTCAAGATGCTTCAACTTTAGCTATTCTTTTACTTGTTACAATGAATTGTATTTGTTGTGAAATAGTTTCACCAAATATTTCAGCTAATGGAAGAATAAATATAGTACAATTAATACAAGTTTTTCAAATGAACAGGGTGATTTCATGAGAGATTTTTCCTAATTCCAGGCCTTTATGCTTAAACTCACGAACTCAGATGATGTTTAAGCACAGAAAATTATGGTCTAATTTATTAAAATTGATTACTTCGATTTATTAATATTTACAGAATTACTTTGTGGCATTTAAGCATTTAGAGAGAGGTTTGTTGGTGTCTCCATAAGGTTAAATGTAATTTTAGGTCACTGGGGTGAGGCTACTCTTCCCCATTTCTATGTCCCAGTTCACTAACAATTCCTCTTCTCAAGTGGCACATAATATAAAAAAATATATAACTATATATATGAAAGACTGAAACTCATCTCAACTGCCCTTTAAAGGACAATGTTGCACGAGAGCCTTACTTTAATAGTTTTACCAGGAATTTTCCACTATGATTAAATGAAAAAAATGTCAATATTTCTGAATAATATTGATGAATGGGTATAAAATAATAAAAATAAAAGAATAAAATAAATGATGTTCTTGAAATTATATTAAACTTTAGAACCATTATTGTTTACTCTTAATAGGTTCATTGACAACACTTATAATCTATAGTGATATTACTTTTTTTTTTAGTTTTATTGGAAAGTAATTTGTTCGATAAACCAAGTGTTGATACTTCCTTACTTATTTTGTTTTAAGATCCAGAACTTTCAATCAACTTAATGCGAATTGGAATATTTTCATTGATAAAGTTTAATATTTATTAGAATCAATGCCTCCAGTGAAAATTGTTAATACTATGTCACTACTGAGAGAAAAAAAATGGTATCTAATTGATTGGAAGGCTGCGATGTTACTGTGGCCAGATCTAAATGGCATGGGTTCCATTACCATGATGGTTAGCAACGATTAAGGAAAATCACAACATGAAACCTGGCATTCTCACATTGGCACTGAAAGGGTGACGACTAATAGATATAGTTTTAATATAAAAAAAAAAAGAAACTTTGTAAAGTTTTACTAGCTTAAAAGCATTTAATCAGTTTAGGCCAAGTTCCAGCCTTCTACAATTAGCCTTACAAATAATATATTTAATTAAACCCTAATTTTTTTGTCAATGTCTATTAATATCTGACAAAAGTTGAATGAAATGAAAAATGTTTGAATAAAAATCTTTATTATATATATACATTTTTTTCTCTAACACCCTATGAGAGAAGCATGAGTAGTCAGATAACAAACGAACACTATATAATTAATTTTCATCCTAACTGCACAGATTTGAAAGAATAAGTATAAAGATTTAAAAATCTGCAAACAACAAATCCTTTTCTAATATTGAGAAAATTAGAAAATATTTCCTTGACAGTAAAGAGTCTGGTAGATATCTTTCTTTGCAATAAGTAAGAGTAAAGCATAGATAATGTAATGGAATAAAGTTACTATCACAATCATTAGATCCAAAATATTTAAACAACAAACCACAAAATATCTATTCTCACAAAGGAAAATAAAAAAAGAGGTAATGGAAATAAATGTATGTGTTAATGAGAATGCTTGTGAAATTCACCTAAGAAAATCTGCAAAAATCAAAAACTCTGTTTTGAAATTAAGTAGATTTATAAGTTTAAATCAGCCAAAAATCTACCTAAGATTGGAATTAAACTTAATAAACTTCATTAATGAAGATAAGAAAAAAGGGCTGTATCATTATAAACATTAAGAATTTCACACACTTTTCTGAAAACCTATCAAAAGAGCATAATTCATGATTCAAATACAGGTAGAAAGAAACGTAAAATATATAAATAGTATACAATAAATTTCATCCTTCTAATTCATAACTAACTTAGAACTTTTGTCCATTTCTGTATTATATTACCCTGACAACTCATACCTGGAGGTAAGGGTTAGTTTTTTTAAATTAAAGGGGTCAAGGTCTGAAATTTTAAAGCATTTTAGATTTTCGGGGTTAAAATCTAGAATGGGATCCACCAAGCCTTAAGGAGAAAAAGAAATGGAAGGCAGATTTATGGAAGCCTTCTGTTTTTTGAAATGTTAATAAATTATTTATAATCATTACATTTTCAAACCCCTCAATACACCACCTACTTGATGTGATAATGAGGCTTAAGTCAAAATTGGACAATTCAAGTGGGGTATGGTATGGTCCCAGTTGGCAGCAAGAAACATCTAGTAATTGGTGGAAGATGATCTCAGATTTGGAGCCACCATTAGCCTTCTAAAGCAGAGTAAGATTGCTTACTGCAAAAAGGAAGGGAGAGCTCTACAGCCATAGTGAAGGCAAAATGAATATCATCAATCCTTCTAGTATGGGGGTTTAGTGTGGGACCAACCTCTTCACCTTAGAAACAAATTACTGGTTACGACACCTACAACCATAAGAATATCAGATGGATATAATAGCAACAACTTTGACATAAATAGGAACAAAAAGAATAAGGATTTGATAATAGCTATATGGAACATCAGAACCATGTAAGATTTGTAAAATAAGGCTTAAATGGAAACAAATCAAACTGTGTTATTGGTACATGTCTCAATGGTTAGAGATGAGGAAGAAAAGGATGCTTTTTTTAAGATGCTTTAGGAAGGTTTTGTGACAACATTAGGAGATATGATATTCGACAAGTAGAACCATCAATAAAATAGATCATGTACTAGGGTCTTCCATGTAACTCTCAAGTGTCTATTGACTTGAAAGTTAGTAATCCAATCAGAATGGAGGGAATGCACTGGGTTTAGACAAGCCAAACAATTTATTAAAATCCCCTCTCCCTCCAAAACTAAGCGGCTACTGGGCCTAACTAAAAAATAAATTTGACTCATTATCAGAGTACTAACAGGCCACTGCAGACTTAAAACACATTTAAAGATCTGTGGGATAGTAGATGATGAACTCTGCAATCTTTGCAGAAATGCACCAGAAACTGCCCTCCACTTTATTACAGAATGTGACCGGTTTGCATCACCCAGATACAGACTTCTGGGCAGAGACAGAATACAAGTATGCAAAGCTACCTCAATAAAATGGTCCACTCTTTTGAACTTCATTAGAAGAAAAAAAAGGTTTGAGACAAAGTTGGAGAAACAATAAACAACCATTGGTAGTATTGTCTTTGGGGTTGGCAAAAAGGACTAACAGGCCCACTTGCCGGACTAAGTCCTTCCACCAGTGCCAGTAGTAATCCAATCAGTTGAAAGAACTCTTCCAGGAGACACTAAGCACAAAGCCACAAGAAAAGAGTTATGTGTAAGAGGAATGGTGCTGCTTGAGTGGGTATATCCAGAAAAATGTGCAACAAACACTAGGTGAAAGAAATCTCAGAAGAAATGAATAATGGTTCAATGATGAGTGCCTTAGAGCCATTAATGAAAAGAATAAGGATCAACAAAGAATGATATTGAAGATAATATATCCGGAAAAATCCTTAATGTGAAGGAGATACTCAATCCAAAAGACTTGACAACATAATTTTCAGAATTTGGATTAATGAGAAAATACGTACCAACTGACTAGAGCTCGAGATTGATGTTACCTATTTTTAAGAAGAAGATAAGACCCAATGCCAAAATTATAGAGGGATTGTCCTATTGAATGTGGCATATAAGATTTTATACTGCCTCCTGGTGTATAGACTTAGGATTTACTCTAAAACAATCTTTACTGCAGTTTTTGATCCAATATTGGAACCACAGATCAAATTTTTTTAGTATAGCAAATGCTAGAGAAGTGCTATGAGCACAATATGGATGTCCACCTACTCTTCATTGACTTCAAGCTGGCCTTTGACTGTGTTAGTAGGTCCAAATTGTATCTTCGACTAGAGAATGTTAAAATCTCTCACAAATTGATAAATAAATCAAAATGATCATGGCCCAAACACAACCTAGTGAGCTTGTTGTACCAACCAAATCAAATCAGCAGCAGAATCATATTTAAAGCTGGTGCAAAAAGTAATTCTTTTAAAGGTTTACTAGAACTATTGCATGTGGGTTGGATAGCTGGCCTAAACTCTGTATCAGCAGATTAAGGTATCATTAAAATAAAGAACAACAAAAACAAGCTATATAATAATTAAAACCCTTTATATCTAAAAATGTGAGTGCCAAATTTCATTCACAAGAAGTCCAAAAACAAATCTCATCTAAGCAGGAGAAATTTGACCTATGCTACTTAATATCACAAAAACTGCCTTCCAATTTGAATTTGGCGTCTTGCTCAGTAATCAGAGGAGAACAATTAATCAATTAATAAATTAATTGTAATAAATTAATATACTTATAGGAATTGTAGCAAGTTCGTATTTTCAGCCCTGCCTTGATGAAGCTGACAAGTGTTTCATCTTCAATAAATGTTAACAAAGATTTCAGCAAAAGAGCCTCAGCATAGCATAGTTCTGCATGCAGTTCCTCTATTAATAAATCAACAAAATTGATTTATATCACTATTAAATTAACAAAAACTTCTCATAGAAAGAAGATATAAGCTAAATATTGAAAATAAATAATTAAAATAATGAACAATTATGAATTCCTTTGTCAAAAATACTAATAAATCCCCGCATTCAAAGCTTATAAGTAACTATTTCTAGAAAAAGTTATATTAAAAACAAATTACATTTGTACTTCACACAGTTTATTTAAAATTCAAAGAACTCAAATCTAAATGAAGAAACTTTCATTTTTAATACTACCTGGATGGAAGAAATATCTCATAAGAAAAAAACTATGGAACATCAACTTTATTTATTTATACTTTGGCTGGTTTTTTAAAAACATTTCATAAATAACGCTCAAAAGACTTTCACATTTTCTTGTCTGTTGATGAATAACTGAGAAAGCTGCCTTTAGGGCTCTAAATTTTAAAGCTAAACAACTGTTCTGTCTCAAACGGATTGAGTTTGAAAATCTTATGGAGATGATGGTTATGGGGTACCACCATTAGGATATAATAATAATCAACACTAAATTGTACAATAATTATATATTTAAATGTAGTGAGAATTAGTGTGAATGTATAATTATACATTTTATAGATAATTTGAAAATTTTATTAAATAGTAAAGAATCAAATCAAATTTGACTCTATACATAAAATAATACTTTATGTCATTATATTATTATAATAAAAAGACTATCTGATAAATGAACATTGATAGAAATTTGATAAGATATATTCATATACATTTACAGCACTATATTTCCTCACTTTTAAGCCAAGCATCAAGTTCAGCTGTGGAAGAAAATTTAATAGCTGTTATTTTAAACATGATTCAACACTGAAATTAGGAGGCTCTCCTGGCACACACTCATTCTCTATAAAGTGAGTATATGAATGTACATTGAGTTGAGGGAAAACTTAGTAGTTGAACATGGGTGCTGAATACTTCACCTCTGTTTATAATATAATTTTCATACAAATCAATTGGTATACATGATATGAAACTAAAAAATATAACTAATGTAAACCAAAGTAATAAATTATTAGATAGTGAAAAGTAAAAGTATTATTTAAAAATAACTTATAATAATATAGTTCAAGAAAAGGTTAGCACAAACATGCATCTTTGCATGAGTTTCCAAATATAGCTCTACATATTATTTTAATTTTTTATTATTGAAGGTTTTTATATTTTCTATATATTACTATAGAAACGAAAATGAAAACTTCTAACAAATTTTTTACATGCATTTTCTACAAACTAAACTGAACACGAGGATCAAAAGAAAAGAATCAACAAGCCAATTATCCTAGTATTTTGTTATAAACATTGGATAGAACTTAAATGATGACAATTGATAAAGCAAATCATAACTTTTTCAATAATTTATTTCCATTTCAAGAATATACAGATGCTTGGACTTTTATACTAAAATATATCATTAATATCATGAATGAAATACTAATGCTTGTATAAAATTAAGTACTGATCAAATGTGCTGAATATTTAATAATAAATAAAATATAAATATTTGTAACGGATCATGAAAAATTGACAGAAGTATGTTTTGCTAATAAAACTCATCCATGTCATGTGAAACTGAGTAAAAATAATCCTAAAACATCAATATACCACCATCTTCTATGTGATGATGGTTCCTGTGGTTTCGTAAGATAAGAATTTGCCAAGTATCCATCAAACAAACTCACTCCCTATCCTGAACATAATCTCATTCATACAGTAAAGGAATTACTCTTTTCTCCAACTCTACCTCCTAAAGTTGTTAACCGTTCTGAGGTCAAAAAGGTAATTAATAAAGCGAAACCGAAAAAATTCCCTCACTCCCCAGGTCCTTCGAAAACTTCACAAAAAAGTGATCAGACAGCTTGCCTATCTGTACAACTGCATCCTTTCTTACCTGTACAACCCACTTTCCTTTAATAAGGAAACATAACATAATTCGAAAAACCTTCGAATGAATTCTACCCATACTCAAATTCTAAAAAAATCCGTTCACATCAGTGATTTTGTTCAGAGCAAGATTTCACTGGAACCTTTCTGAAGTTATCACAACCTTTCAACCACGAGTGACAAGCTAGATTGCTTTTTAAGATCAAAATTTGTTAACCTCAATCCTTAGGTTTTTTCTCTTAAACCTTTCAAGTCTGCTGCAACCTAGCATACTCCAATAATTATTTTCTTGAGACTGGTGTTCTTCAAAGCTGAGTCTTGGACAAGTTCTCTGTATTCTCTTCAGTGCTGACATCTCTAAAATTCCCAATATTTTCCTGGTAACATTTTCTGATGATCCTTTCCTCCTATTCAGATCCTGAAAGGACTTTTATAAGCCTACAAAGACATCTTTCACTAATTGAGCAATGGTGAAAGAATTAGCCCATTAAAGTCAATGAGTCGAAATGTAAGCATATCACTTTCACCCTCAGACACAGATCCTGTCTGCTAATCCTTCATAACTCTATACCACTTTCTTTCTCAAATACAGTCAGGTATCTTGTCTTTCTGCTAGCCAAAATACTAACATGGAACTCACAAACTATACCTAAAAGAAGAGAATTTAACCGACAATTTGGCCAGTTATATTAGAGATTACTGAACAAAAACTCTCATCTTTCAATTGGAAACAAACAACCAAACTAATTATTTACAAGACCACATTGAAACCAACTATGGACTTCAATAGTGGAGGACAGCAAAATGTTTGAACATCATATATATCCAATCCTTTCAGTCTAAAGTCCTTTGAATAATATCCGATGCTCTATATTACAATACAAATAAAACTTTACATCATGATTTCATCATTCCATATGTCCTTGACAGAAACAAGGTGTAAAAGCTTGTTTTAGAGTTACCTAAGCTGAATATAAATATTGTATATAGGTTTGAATATGTCAAAATCGAATTATTTTATTTTTACTAAAATTTAACTTTCTGTATCTTGTGTGTACATTATTCTCCTATTATATTGTTTCACTTATTTTTATTACTATAATATTTTTAATTTGGGGGCTGGGGTAGCTGTACAGACTAAATGCGCTTGTGATAGGTAATCAAAGTTAAGCAACGCCGAGCGCGGTTAGTACTTGGATGGGTGACTGTCCACCAGGGGAAGCCATGCTGCCCGAGATTCCTCCTCTACAGTATGTGATGCCCGTTAGCCTACTGGAGGCAACTCACACCAACCGGGCGTAGGACTGATGACCTTACCCCATGTACTCAAATTGGGAATCGGGAAGTGGTCTACCAGGATATCAGTAGCACCCCCTGAGATTTGGTCCATGGATGGTCTGTTTCGGGGTAAGTTAACCTTGTGCGGCTGTTAACTCTGAGCAGCCATAATCTGTGGATCTAGACCTATTTGTCACTGTCCTTGAAGCCGATTGAGGTTGGGTGACTCTCTCCAGGCTATATGTGCTCCTGCAAGCAATATACGTCTGTAAGGAAACCACACACACACGTGGCTCAAGATTTCATGGTCTATAATGCCAACTGATAATATACGCACAGTACATATGCGCAACAGATAACTTTCAATTAGCACTCTACTTTGAATAGAAATAATTTTCTGGCAATGTTGGGCAATTATAAAATTTTTGAAGTGCATTTTAAACGAAGCTAAAGCTTAAAGCTTACAGATAAAAAATAATTAAGACCATTTAAATTACAAATACTCTATTTATTATATCAATGGTAGGCAATAACAATCTAATTACTCCACTTGCTTTTATAAAGCACACAACTTCAGTCTCTGAGCCTTTCAGTTGACAAAATGAATAACTTCAATTTCAACATTTTTGAGTAATGTCATTTTAGTGATATTTGTTGTTGGAAAAGTTATGTTTATACAGACAATGAGTAAGTTGATTGCAATGTTGAAGTATAGAACTGTGAATAAAGGTATAAATTTTTCCACTAGAAACTTCACTAAAATTAATAATAAAGAATGTTGAAATTGGAGATAGTCATTCTGTCAACCAAAAGGCTTATATATGCCTAGAGTAATTTGAAAGTATATCTGAATATTTAACCAATAAATGATGATGGATTGTAGGACTAACAGTTATTAAACTGTTATTTTCCATTGTAAAGTTAACTAAACTGAAATTACGAAATTTTCAGTGCCTGCCATGGATAGGTCAAAAGTTGTCACACTGATTGTAAGTGGATAATGTTGGGATTTCACAAAGGAAAAATTAATCAAATTATTCACTAATTTAATTTTCTAAAAGGTTACTTAATGATTTTTTTAAATAAATGGCCAATAGATACCTAATTATTTAAATATAATATCATATCTAGAGTTATTAAACTAGGGTAAATGTATGTATGGTTATAAACATATCCACGAAATATTTTTATATTTCACTTCTTCTTTCACACAAGTAAGATGAAATAGTATTTTAAACAATGGCATTGGCTTGATTTGGTAGATTTTAAATACTTTTTTTTTCAAATGTAGAAAAAAAATTAAAAATTTACATTTAGTAAGAAACTTTTTATTTAATTTTCTTGGAAACATGTGAATTACGTTAAATAACGTTAGTTTTCTGAAATTATTATTTATATTTGTTCCTCTCTCTCCATTACTTTCTATAACTTTGTTTATTTGATATTATTTTTTCTGAAATTCTCTGCTTTCCAACAATGTATTATATGTATACCTTCTGATTGTTATTTCCGGAGATTCATTTTCAACCTGGATAAGCATTTTTCTTTTTTTCTTCAGTTTCCAATGATCACATTCCTTCAAACTTCATATTTGGCTATTTTTTATAGTAATTCTCAATAAAAGAGAGTTAATTTTTTTAAATAAACCATATTAAAGGTATTTTAGAGGAAGACGCATGTGAACATTGGGCATTCAAGTCCTGTAAAGTGGCATCAATGGGGATAAGACAAATGATACTAAATACCATTTAATTATACAGTGATACACTGAGTTTAATCAA